TACACATTATCTTTTAAACTATAAAATACTGTCAATATATTTACATAATTGGGCTTAATATTTCTTGATAAAGTGCATTACAAAAAAGCAGTTTATGGTCGTCAGAATAAAACCAACTATTCGGAAATGTCGAATTCCAATATTATTTAGGTCACGAACAGTCAAGTCCATTCAAACTTGCTTTACCTGTATGAGGTGCAAAAATTAAAACCACAGAGTAAAGTAAGAATGTAGATAAAACACTAGTTGCAAAAACAACTCTCATGTATTAAGAGAAGATTAAAACTGGGGTAATGTGTAAATCTATTTAACCTTATTACTTGGGGGTACGCCTTTTGTGTTCATCGTTCGACATATGAGAGTAGTTTCGAAACAAATATTTCCCCTATGGAAGATAGATTATTAAATATAACCATTTATCATTAATATAAACCAGAGAGTCATGTGAACTAGAATGTACGTTCAAAACTTGTATTCATATTTGAATTCTTTGAAGAAAATCATGAAATTTCATTTACATAATAATATGTCTTGAATATTATATACGACATAAATATATTAAGGCAATGCTTTCACCGTTAATACTGAAACATTAATTCCAAGGATTCTTGGTTATGAAACCCTATCCTTGATATTTAAGGCCGATTGAATATAATTACACCGTACGGCCACAATAACAGGCAGCGTGCATGACTACACAGCAAAAAAAAGGATTGTATTTCATATCAAAATATTCCCCATTACTTTCATATAGAATAACTATGCAAGTGTTGTGTTACGCACTGTACTTAATGTAAGTTAGAATGGATCTTTAATAGGACGTATCAGTAATTAATACATATTTATTTATTCATTTATTTCGGATGTCCATCCATATTATGTTAGTAATAAATTTATGAATTATGTTAGTAAAATACAAAGTATATCCTTATTATTCTGATTCACATATCTACTTATGTCTGTGTATGTAAATAATAATAATAATACCTGTGGGTAATTCACACGATATCATCTAGTCCCAAGGTAAGCAGAGCTGACATCTAACTACTAGACAACTGATACAAATACTTAGATAGATTTTTTCTAAATACATACATAATACCGATATAAACCAACTCGTGAGTACTAATGTTTGTTCCGTACGAGGAATCGAACCCACGACAATCAGAACTAAAGGGGTGTGCTAAACCGCTAAGCCACCGAGGTCTTCAGATTATATAACACAGCACAGTACAATGATATCACGATAACTATTTAGCACATGCATTGCATGCAAAAATGCAATAGGACTAGCTGTGTCATAGAACTTTAGCCACAGTATGCATTGGCATTCCGGAGGACTAGGATATGAAATAAATGATGAATTTTATTCCAGGTTGTCTCTAAGAAATTGCATAAAGCGATGAGACCGCCTTATTTCAAGCACATTTATGTATTTTTTTTATATTTTTCTTTACGTATAATGAAGAGTTATATTACTAATATTATTCTAAAATTTAATAATAGGCACTGAGAATCACAATGTGTACAGTACCTACCTTACCATCCAAATTGCGTAATTTATTTTTCAGAGAACCTTTGATGCAGGACTACCTCATTAGACTGCATTTTGTGAACTCAACAGACTCGAAGACACATCTACCAGAATTTCTAGATTTTGTACTGAATTCGCAATTTAGAACAGATATATGATATTGTTGAATTTAATTGAAGTGACATTAGACTAATGGTAGCAATGCGAAACAAAAGATACATTTTTGTTAAGTGCACGGTTATATATAGATTCCCAGCTTGAATAAAAGAGTAGCGCGAATACATCCATATATTGTAATTTCAATGCCTCGTCTCGCATCTATCAATAGATGAGATAGGATTATCCATAAAACATCTTCGACAAAGTCTACTAATTATTATAAAATATATTATTAACATGTATGTAACATTATTACCTACCTTTGTGCAAAAGTTCACTCTAATGGGTCCGGCTGTTAGAAGGCGATTAAGTAACAAACACCCAAAAAATATTAATATCTCCCTTTGTTAACTCCTCTGTTTATTATTTCTAATAAACATAAATATATTTCTTAAATAATAAAGAATATAATATTCAATAATTTTTATAGACTCACAATTATTACGTTAGTGGAATATTAAAATTAGTAATAACAAAATAACTTAGGTATTATATATTAGACGAATGCCTAGATACTTAAATTACTGACCTGGTTTTAAGGTCACGGATAACCAGTCACGTTATTGACCGGCTCACGTCAAAGTATGTTACATTTCTTGTTCTATACTTATTGAATTCATATGAACATACCACAGTGGTAGGTATAAAATATAAGTGAATAGCGGGCAATATTATACTAAATTATAGCCTCTTAGTTGAGCAATTCATAAGTTACCAAAAGTTGCAGATGCATGAATGGTAAAAGATGCGATTAATAGACGATCTACAAAATACAGTTTTAAAGATCTACTTACAAATTAGTCTCTATACTTACACGATGCAAAACTAAGTGATTTATCTAATAAAACTACCATAGATACAGACCACAAGCTACTTTTTATTTTTTTTATTTAGGAGATCAGGATCACAATAGTAAGCATATTAGTTCCGTCTTGGCTTCTTAATTAATTAAACATTTTCATATTTTATATTTACATTCCATGTATGTACTATAAAATTTAATTAAACTACAAGTTACTACCTTTATTTTATTGCCACTACTTTATCTTGGTTAAAAAAATAGTCAGTTTCCTGTAAATAATTATATTCGATATAAACTTAAATAGAAATATACAAACATTATTTTAATAAAACAAATGCAATTTTCGCTTGCAGTTCATTACTTCAATCTTTCGTTTGCATCGCCCGAGGCATTGGCCTACGCGAACGTGTGTCAACAACTTGCCTTCCATTATAAATGACTTTCAATCGAAACATTATTTCCTGTAATATAATTTTTTACATGATTAAATATTTTTGTACACTTTTTGGTGAAAATTATATTTATATTAGTCAATAACAATATATATGACTAATTATATGATAGCAATAATCGTAGAAGCAATAAAATAACATATAAAATAAACTCAAAATATTATGAATAGAAATTTACACACAAATATTGTACAAAAATCTTTTATGCAGTTTTCAGAAAGAATTGATACTTTTCTAAGCTGATCTTGAAAATGTAACGCATTCTCTAATCATGTTTGTTGAGATAACCCCTCATTGTATTATAGTTTCAATCCTACATGCAAGTCTTCCTTTCTAAGTAGATAATATATTCCGAGTATTATTTTAAATTGAAAGTTTTATTCTTATTGTAGTAGTATATTTTTGTCATTCTGCAGATGAACTGCTCTTTGCTTAAAGCAATCATTATGATTTAATACCTATAAGTACTAATTTTATTAAATTTTCTCTTTTATATGTAATTTCATTATATTTTTACTTTTTTTTTTTTTAACCAACCGAGCTGCCTGTTAATAAACAATATTACAAATGTAATTGAGGTAGTTCGCCTTATACATTCGAGCCTTGTCATCATCATATTAATATTAGTGACATACAACTATGTACTAAAAAGATGATTGGTCCAATTCTTAGCGTGCATCAAATAAATCTGCGTCAATAGAGAGTTTCACATTGATTGATGTACTTGCGTAATAAGTATTAGTTAACTTATTAACAAAACGTTTTGTTTTGTAACAAGATTATTATTGGTATGATTGACGTGATACACCTGCTTTATTACGAACTAACATTAATACCTACTGTTTTAAAAGTTACATCTCTACTTAGTATAAAATGAAATCGATTCCACTGCCTATTCGGTTAGATCTTTTAAACTACTCAACTACTCAACTTTTAATGCAGTTTTTAGTAATAGATTTATATGTATAATACGTGTAAATTCGTGCGAAGCCTGGGCAACTAGCTAGTATCATATAAATAGGATATTTTCTATATTAACATTATTTAAGAGCTCCCGATATTTTGCCTCTGATACAAACGTCTTAATCGCGGTTTGACTTTATTTAATTCTCTTTTATTTCACTATATCACTAAGTCAGTTTTTATGATATATTTCTACATAATATTTTATTAAAATCCGTTGAGCCGTTTCATAGTAAAAAGATAGGAACTGATAGAGACAGATAATATAAATAAAAATAAATTTACTGAAAGTAAGGGACTTTTGTCCACTAGTCTAGTAATATTATTAGCAAATAAACATCTAATATTACGTATATATCGTATAGAAAATGTTAAAACCGATAAACTGGAATTTTGCGGAAAGGAAGTAGGCAAAATAGTGTCATTTTGATATTAGTATTATTAAAGAGGAAACCAATTCAATTCGATATAATGTAACACGTGAGGAGAGGGAGAGAAATATATGAGGATTACTGTCAACATTCTGTACACTTTTTGAAGACCAGCTTTTGCAATAGAATTGAGTCAATTAATTTTTCCCACTTGTTCATTCTATGTTTAAAACTATAATTCTTATTTTACTATGGCCCAATGATGTTTAACTGTAAGAAAACAGGACATAAATGTAACATTATTCAAATTCATTGAAAATCCAAACCTTAGAAGAAAATTAATGACTATTTAGGTATTATTACATAAAATCATCAATTAACGGTGCACACTGATGATGCAATATTATACAAGACAGTGCAAACAATAGACCAACGTTGATACCGCATTCAACGGCATGTAAACAATGCTCGCATCGTACTGCGGCTACATCATTAGCCAGTCAATCAGTAACCGATTTCGTGAAGACAGTGATACACTTTCATTTAAAAAAAGGTGAAAGGCTTAGACACCTCAGACCCATTTACCGGCATTGTTAAGGACCCTCGTGCTGGAAGCCAAATAATGGCCTACACAGCATACTTTTAATCATATAATGTTACATAATAAATGATTTCTCTTATAGAATAGTCTACATATATAAGTGATGCCATTTGCATCCGGAGCCAAACACTTCCGACACGCGGTTGCAATCAAAACATTCATAATGTTTATTAAAGTGAGTTGCGCATTTATTACTAGCTCAATTTGAATTCATCAAATATTTATTTAATATATATCATAGAAAAAACAATATGAATTAATCTTGTTAAATATAAATTTAAAAACCATAATTATAATTACAATTACACAGTCAATAATAGGGTCTAAGGAGAATTAATAAAATGAAAAGGTTGGTTGGTAGTCGCAATAAAACTAAATTTAAATTATTTATTTCAGATTGGAACAGTTTTATCACTACTGACCATTAGTTGTGGACAACCAGTGGAACCTAATCTGAATTCAAAACAAGCAATATCTTCACAAAGTTTTGTTCGCCAAGACGTGCCACTCTCATACCAATACAGTGCCATCCATACGTACACGACGCCGGAACCAAGACAAACGCAGACAAATGGACAATATTATCAAACTGGAGTGAACTTGAATCACCAAGGCATACAATACGCACCACTGTCAAAACCTGGAGAACGAGTACAGAAATTGTATACGAAAGTTGCAGAACCAATTAGACAATACAAAAGCAGAAACGAATATACAAGTGAAGCTGTTATAAAAAAGGATCATTTGGAACCGAAGCCTGTAGTGAATAATCTTGAAAATCGTGTGCCGTTTCATCTTTCCTACGTTCCTGGTCAAAATACAGAAGTAATGCAATTCAGTCGGAATCCAGGACATAATGCTGTATACAGAAGCTATCCAGAAAATACTGGAATAGAAAAGAATACAAAGGTAAGTTATTTTTATTAAATTATTCTACTTTAATTATTATATAAAATTGTATTTAAATTAATATTAGCAATTTGACTATTTAATTTGTAAAAAAGTCTATTCACTAAGATGTACTTATAAAAATATAATTTATCTTATGGATCCTTATTTATTAATCATGATACTTTAATTTGAAAAACACGAATTTAACTGATATTATGATAAGTATACCTCATCTGAGAAAGTGCTGTATTCATTTGAACAAGTAGTTAATGCGTTATTCTATGATATCATAAGAAATTTTATAAATTGAAAGTGTTTTTTAGTTTTATTGCTTAAAGAATGAAATAATTTAATCTATAAATATTCTATTCACCTAGTTCCAAATCAATTTAATGATACCTTGTAAATACAATAAAAGTGCACTATAGTATTACTTGTTATAACAAATGTACGATGTAATTGAAAATTTATATATAGTTTATGTATACATAAAACATTTTTACATTTGTTAAAGCATATCATTTCATAACACCAATAGCTACCAATACCTTTTATTGCAGATCAACTATCAAAGAGAGTTCACGTCATACAAGAAACCAGAAAATCAACTTCAGATTGCTTCAGAGAATTCTAGTAGTAATGAAAAACCATACATCGTAGTGCCTGAACAAACTCATGAACTATATACAAACAAGTAAGTATTTATTAAAATATCGCATGGGATACGTATGGCAAATCTTTGATATGCAGATATATATAATATATGTACATATAATAGTAGGTACAGATCTATTATTACATATTCTCTAAGTTCATATATTTATTATCCATTAAAATAAAACAATAAACTCTGTGTAGTTATTTATAAAGAAATTTTATAAGTACAAGCCATAAAATATTGTAAGAATACAATTACTTTAGTTCGATAATTTATTTCTCATTTATGTGTTAATTTTCTACATGTATTTTATATACTTAATAATTAATATGTTTATGTACTCGTAAGTAAAGAGGACTTTAGTAATGACAACAATTAAAGTTTAAATACTACTATGGTATAATACCATAGTAGTATTCATTTATAATTCTGGAATTAATTCATGTGAAACAATCAATAATTTAAGTTCAAACGTACATTATTTAGTTTCTTTTTATTATTTTTTTTCATTTATGAAGATTTATTAAATTCATCTATCTGTATTAGTCCATACCTTAACTGTGACTACAATCTTAACTTTTACTCAGAATTTGCTTAGAAAATATTAACAGGAAATTGTTTCTAAATTATAACTTTTTAACGACTTTCTATGCAAAATTAATTATTTATTAAGGTTATTAAAACGAAAACTTAAATCCCATTATATTTGTTACAGATACAAAGTCGGTTACATACCCTCACTGGACAAATTAACAAATGAAAATCGGCAAACCGAATCTCTACAACATCCAAAAATGCACAGACTAATATTAAACTTGGCACGTGCATACAACATTGCTCATTCGTCTCTCAAGGCACCGATGAAAATAGGAGTGAATTTAAAGTCCCCTGCTCATACACAGGCTTTCATAAAAAAAGATTCCTCCCTAGTGGAAGCACCATCGAATAAAATTACATACCTATTTGCAGTTCCAGAGAATATGAAGCACTTTCCCACCCACCGTTTATCGTAGTATTTTTAATATGTTAGTAGTTTTATAGTCTTATGTAAATACTTATTTATCTTAATTTACTAGATAAATATAGATTCTAAAACTTTTTCTCATTACAATGTTATTTAATTTTGAAAATATAATTATTATTTATATTCGAAAAGGCAAATATGATGTTAAATAAAAACTTGTTAATAGTTGTGTATATTTTACTTATATAGAATTAACTGAAAAATATTTTTTTTCAACCTAAAATGGTTATTTATATAACACCGAAACAAAATGTATTTATGTCATATTACTTATTCAGTACATAACAGACGGTATTATAGATGATGAGATAAACTAAACCTATGCCTCGTTAAAAGAAAAATTAATGATATACGAATCCATGAAGAAAAAGATGTACGTAACTACAAGGGAAAGAAAACCCATAGTAACGAAAGAACATTACAGAGACAGCAGAAAATTTTTCAGTCCTGTATCTATCGCCAGTATCGTATCGTTAGAACCTAAAACTTACCAATAAATAATACATTTATGCCTATTCACTCTTCCTACGTAAAAACGCTAAATTTTTAAAGTAAATCAGAACACAGTTTAATAGTTAAACAATTAGATTACAACTATACATCTGACTAAACAAAACATAATAGAAAACAAACAAGGTGTACCCACATGATATGATTATGAAAGTAATCCAGTGGGTGTACACAGCTTTGTAATATACGACCTACGGCAAGGTTGATCGATTCGCTTGATGTCTTACTTAGTATAAAACGAGCCTTAACATTTTTTTTGCATCATTCACTGTCAATACAGTACAGAGAAATAATCAATATGTTCTCTAAAGTAAGTAAAGTTAAATACTTACACAAATCATAATATTAATGTATCGTGTTTGAACAATATAATATTACATATTAATTTATTAAACTAATACATAATTATTATAGGTGGTAGCTTTATGCGCGTTTGTGGCGGTGGCTCAAGCTGGCCTTCTGGCTGAGCCAGTCCACTATTCTTCTGCTGCTGCAGTCTCCTCCCAGAGCATCGTGCGTCATGATCAACCCCAAGCTACCAAGCTGATAGCTGCCCCCGTTGCCAAGATCGCTGTTGCCGCTCCCGTTTACCACGCGCCCGCCCCAGTTTACCAAGCCTCAGCCCCTGTATACCATTCCGCTGCTCCTGTATATCACGCTCCCGCTCCCATTGCCTATCAGGCCCCAATCGCCAAGGTTTTGGCCCACGAGCCTGAAGAAATCGTAAGTATATTCATAACCCCTTATGGAGGCTCTTTATGATCTATAGAATCTTTATATGCATTTTATTTTTCTACTTCACTACTGCAAACCATTTTCTACAAATCTACTCCTTTTTGCGCATATATATCATTACATTTTATATTTTATTCCATTGACATTATTTTTATACATAAATTGCTCCTAATCAATATATTGCTTTTGTTACCAGGCTTACCCCAAGTATGAGTACACCTACTCAGTGGCTGATGGACACACTGGTGACAACAAGTCTCAGCAGGAGGTGCGTGATGGTGATTCCGTAAAGGGCTCGTATTCTTTCCACGAAGCTGACGGTTCTATCAGAACTGTAGAATACACTGCTGATGACCACAACGGTTTCAACGCGATTGTACACAACACCGCCCCCACACACGCTCCCGTCGCGATCAAAGCTGCACCTCTACTAGTCAAATCCGCCCCTGTCTACTACAGCCATTAAGTTATTAGCAAATATTGTTGACTATTTATTTATTTAAATTAATAAATATTGCATTTTAATAGTATTTCTTGGAATTTATTTTTAATACACTCCATCATACACATCACATTCTACATAGTTCCGACTTATTAACGAGAGCTTTGCAACTCATATATTCATTTTTTATAACAATATATGTGTGTATCAAAATACGATAGCATGTGCATCTATCTCTCATGGTACAATGAAGTCTGCTAAATTGAACAATCAAAATCCGAGATATTAAAATCAGAACTAATTTAAAAATATAATTGGATTATACCTGTACATTTAATAATTGATAAAGTCTGCAATAATAGTAGTCATTTATATACATAAAGCTCTTTAAATCGACAGAGGGTTCAAAGTATTATATATATGTACCAAACTTGAAACCTGTTTTAGTATTCATGAAATTGAACACACTTTTCCAAAAAAGTCAAGTTTAAAAATTAACATTTCATTTATAAACAAACAGCGCGCTCATATTATCAATTTAGTATGACAATAATGATATTAATTTATATGCAGACTACAGATGATGTTTCTTTTATCGAAAAAGAACAATGTATGTCCACATTGTTCTTTTTCGAAATATTTCGGATTTCGGAAAATTTGTCAGATAGTGGTTCAGATTCATAAGTATTCTACTTGACTTTCGACTTGGTACACTAATCCTTTATAGTGTTGTAATCCTTTAAAGTATTATATTACAACAAAAGCACTTACGTGCTTTTCTTTCTAATATTCGAAATATTCATTCAATCTATCCCCGGTCTGGATTTTCAATCGTGGATGGAAAGCTATTGCGTATATATACATATTAAGTATCTAACAAAGTCTGACAGCCTTCATTTCACGTGATATTATCATAGTATTCTGAATTTTATTAGAAATTTCGCGAATACACAACCTTCATTGCATGTGCTCGTAACGGTTTTTGTCGAACCTATTAATGCTGTCACAATTTTGCATTTTTATCATTAACATATTAATGAAATGGCAAACAAACAGAAAACCCACTTGATGGTAGCTGTCATCTATATACATGAACAACATCCTGAATATGACGTCAGCATGTAGCGCCCTTGGAACCCCTTATGCTTTTCATTGATGCTGCCTTTTCATTAAAACCCATTTGGTTATTGAAGTTATTAAATTGAATATTAAATACTGTACTATACTAAGTATCTGCTAGTAAAAATAAAAAAACCTATGCGCCATACAGTTCATTGTCCTGACTTATACCCAAAAGATAGTTAGATCGAAACTGACAGGCACTCAAAAACTGTGTACTCTATGGTCCTGTAAGAGTGTCCATTTATATTTTCTTATTTGTAACTGACACTCCGCTGATGAATATGGACAGTGTAGGCTTGTCAAGTGCCACTATACTATCTCTGCTTACTGTCGTGATATTATTATCATCCTTACTAGTTCCATAATCATTACATAGTATAAAATAATGTCGCTGGCGCTGTCTGTCCCTATGTATACTGAAATCTTTAAAACTACGCAACGTATTTTGAAGCGATTTTTTGAATATATAGAGTGATTCGAAGTGAATTTATGAGAAGGTTTATATAATACATGTACACCCGGGCGAAGCTGGGTAGTAATATTATAAATGCGAAAGAGACTTTCTGCCGCGCTATCACGCAAAACTATTGAATCAATGTCTATGAAATTTAGTACACAGACAGTCTAGATCCTGAGAAAGGACGCGAAAAAAAGGGTTGTAAGGGGTTACCCTTAAAAGGGGTTAACCCTTTTAAGGGGAGATGAAAGGTTGTATGGAAAAATCATCCTTTTTATAGCTAAAAGCTTGAAATTTATTTTTAAGCTTATATTGAATAAAATGTCATAATTGATTACATATAATTCTAGTTATATATGTAGGTACATCTGTTATCTCATTACTCACTAAATGGTTACTGAATTATGTTAATAAATCAAATAATCGTACCATCCGAAAGTAACAATTAGAAAATAATTAATGAATTATTGTTCTCCTTTCGCTCCGAGCTTCCGAGAAGAACATTCACACAGTAATATAATGTAGCTTTTATAGAAAAATAATATTCATAATAATAATTAAAAATTTTTGAAACTTTATTTGTGCTTAAATTTTATAATACCTACCAGAAACTAAAGTAGCATCAATAATATTAGAATAAATTAGCATAACATTCACACAAAATGAAGTTAGTTATAGAGTATTATATACACTATAATTATATTTAGCAAAAGAAATCCTTACTATGTGTTGTTACGAACTTAAATCTGCATTTATTCAAATCTAAAAGCTTCGTTTCTTTAATTCATGTAATGTACCACCGTATTAGTTACAAATGAATCTCATAATTCATAAATATTCTAGTACATTTTTATTGTGGATTAAAATAAAAATAGTCATCATATGCACAGAAGCTTTAGTGAATGGGTGAGTTATTGACGAAAGTACGACAAATGCGACCTAGAGCAAGGTCGGTCGTGTCAAGTCCTAAGCCAGTTTGACTGCTACCACTACTTGATATGATCTGTACTGAGTAAGTACGAGTATATATTGAGGTACCTGCTAGAACAGATATCATTAACAATCTGATCATTTCAGAGAAGCAATCAACATGTTCTCCAAAGTAAGAAGAAGTTTTCTTCTAATATATTTTTTATTTATGTAATTTAAAAAAATATATATAAAACATTAATTAAATTTATTTATTTTAATAATTCAAATATTAAATTTAATAAAACAGTATCTATTCTCATCTTTCAGATTGTAGCTTTGTGCGCGGTCGTTGCTGTGTCTCAGGCTGGTCTTCTGCCTGAGCCAGTCCACTATTCTTCTGCTGCTGCAGTGTCCTCCCAAAGCATTGTGCGCCATGACCAACCTCAAGCCAAGTTATTGGCCGCACCTGTTGCTAAAATCGCTGTCGCCGCTCCCGTATACCAAGCTGCCGCCCCAGTCTACCACGCTCCAGCCCCAGTCTACCACGCCCCTGCCCCAGTCTACCACGCCCCTGCCCCTGTCGCCTACCATGCTCCTATTGCCAAAGTTATAGCTCAACCAGAAGAGATCGTAAGTTACAATTTATTAAATACTTAATCTGAGTGGTTTCAGTTTAGTTTTTCAAATATTTTTACTATAAATTTTTATTTATAAATTTCCGACATATAGTAACTATGCTTAAAAAAATATTAATATTTATAAATGTAACTTTACTTTTATTTAATTTACATATCTCTTTGCTCTAGGCTTATCCCAAATACGAGTACACTTACTCCGTAGCTGACGGACACACCGGCGACAACAAATCCCAGCAAGAAGTTCGTGATGGTGATGTCGTAAAGGGATCATACTCCTTCCACGAAGCTGATGGCTCCATCAGGACCGTAGAGTACACAGCTGATGACCACAATGGCTTCAACGCAGTGGTACACAACACCGCCCCTACAGCCGCCCCCGTCGTTTACAAAGCTGCGCCTGTCCTAGTCAAAGCCGCCCCTGCCTACTACCATTAAGAATTTAAAAAGTATTTAGCACTGAAAAATGACTTAGTTAATTTGTTGACATTTATTTATTTGTAGCAATAAACGATTACGTTTGATTACAACATTTGTGTTCTTTTGTCGTACGTGTTACATATATATCAAAGTATATACTACTATTCTATTCTATTCTATTCTATAAGGGGAGAAATTTTAGGGTACTATATATTAAACATACATTTAACGAGTTTTGTAATAATACTCTAAGAAGTTAAATACTTCTTTTCTTAATTATAATTACAATTAGTATATACAAAGTTCGAACTTTGATTCCGACAGTTAATTATATTGATTATAAATATTGAAATACTTACTGGACGTTTCAGAACCTGACCTAATCAAGGTCAAACCTGATGTTTATCTGTTGCAAATTCAATTTTGGAAGAATTTGCAATACTGCGCCGCCAGAGGCAAGGTTACATATGACAAGTTTAATTAAGACTATTAAGACTATGTCAGGCATGAGTTAATGAATAGTGACTATAACACATTGTTCAGTTTATACTGTATACCATAATCAAATTGGTCTTGATAGAGACAGGAGCAATAAGAGTGAAATTATCAAATTAAAATAAAAAATGTATTACCTCAATAATATATATACATACTAGTATAGTGCATATGTAAAATAGATTCACTTAGAAAATAAAAATACAAAAAACTATGTAGGGTTTAAAAGTCCCTTTAAATTAAATCAGTTGTTTGATAAGAGTATTTTTGCTTTCTATTTTTATTTCATGCTAACCAATCGGTAGTAATCTGATCTTCATCAATAGTGTTAAGCATTTGACCATCAGGCTTATTGAACATACTTCTGGCTTATTATTACATTATTTGTAGTATGTGTATATTTTTTTAAATATTTTTACCGACCTTTACTCTAAGACAATATTACTTAATACTTGTACATTATTTCTTAACTTTTACGCGTAGTATATGTGAAACTATCTTCACAGGTAGTTTCATAATATCAACGAGCAGTTTAAATATCCACGCATTCGTAATATCGTTTTACCTATCTGATATGTAAATAGTATTAATTTTATTTTAAATGTTATTCAGAAGTGAAATTTTAAAGGACTAAAAGACAATTACAAAACTTTAAAAGAAATTTATTATAATACCAAGTAATGTAATGTATGTTTTCAGATTACTTTTGTGAATGTCTGTGGACGAAGAACTACTGAGCTTATTATTTATGATAATGAATTATTATACTGCAATATCATTTTATACTAATAACAATAATAATAATAAAAGCCTTTATTTACTGTTAACATTACATTACAAAAATAACAGCAGTAACTGTGGTCCTGTTAGTTTATAATTTAGTAATTTTATTTATTTATTTTTTTCCACATCTGAATGTCAACAGTTTGTCATGTGACATATAGGCCTCCTCCAAGTATTTCCATAGGGTTCAGTCCCTTGCACTCTGAGTCCAAACTTTCCCTGCTACCTTCCTAATGTCATCTTCCTATCTTTTGGTCTGTCTGCCTCTGCTTCTTTTGTGTCCTCTTGGGTACCACTCTGTAATGTCTTTTGTCCATTTTGGTATTTTTTCCCTAATCATATGGCCTGTCCACCTCCACTTCATAGATTTAACAGTTGTTTCAATATTTTTAAATTTTGATTTTTCTTTTAATTTTATCACTTAGTTTAACACCGATAACACTTCTTTCTATTGAGTTTCAACATACTCTTAGTCTCTGCATATGTTTTTCTGTAGTACTCCAAGTACTTGGAGTACTACAGAAAAACATTTTATACTACTACATATTTAATAAATGACTAATGTCATAAACCAATGGATATTGAGATTATAATATATTGGCCCGTTAACATACGTAGAATAAGTAATAATTTATTTAGTAAGTATTTATTAGGAAACTAACAGCTTACAATCTACAAGTATCTACATTTCTAGAGAATATCAATAACAGGTTTTCATAGACTTAGGAAAAGAAAAAAGAAAATGTGGCAAACAGAATAAAGATCTAAGATAAACATAGAAGTACTAATCAAATAATATAAATTTCACAATAAAAAATAGTAATAGAACACTTACTTTAACAATTATGAATACGACAATTGTATATGAATTAGAGGTCAGATACAAATATACTAATAATTTACAAACAAAAATTTAAAAATATATACTTGATTATACATTCATTTATACTTCTAAATTTAAATATTACAGTTTCGAATAGTATTAATCACTTAATAATTCATTAACACAATATTACATCGTTACAATTAGTGTTATAAAAAATTGATAATTTTACATAAATGCGAAAGGTCTTATCGATTACATTCTCGCTAGTCGATTATCTCGATACTCACTAATAAATACCAATTTCTACATAGCGATTGAACAATGAATTTGTCGAGTTTATCGAATTGTGTCGATGACCAATATGATAACACACGATCGCAGATCCACTCTCTTTTATGAAATTTTTGTCGAAGGAATTTCACTAAGCAGGAGAATGGGTTAAATTGAAATGACAACTTAGATTATTATAATACAATTATATTGTATACAGCTATTATTCATCCATAAATGTTAAATTATATGAGTTTTTATTTAATAAAATAGAGAAGTTGTGACACGACACGTCTATTTTAAATAACATCTTTATAACCCACATACATTTTCAAATAATTAACTAAATACAGTATACACCAACTCTGAAGAACAATATTCAATAGATAAAATAGGTATATTAACACTTGACAATATTATCTGAACATATAGGTATTTAAGAATATGAGCTATCAAAAGAAATACATAAGTACCGTTTAATTAATAATCTGTATTATTTGTTTTATATATACAAACTTATTCGTGCCAATAATGCCGAAGATACTCTCTTATAGTCTCTAAAGTAGAATATAGAAATATAGTCTCAATACCTTCTTTGATTAAGATTATGATGTGATGATACGATAAATTTCAGGGCTAGACAAATATAGATACGACTTTTATTTCGGTTACAATTTTTCCAACCAAACCATAAGTAATTATTTATATTATAATATTTATTATAATTTTACTATATATTTTTACTTTTTATCCTTATTTTAATAAAAATGCCTTTTATATATATTTGAAGTCATTGGTTATAACCATCATTATTAATAACCAAACTTTACATAGGTATACACTTTCTTAGGCATTTTTATTTCATGATTTAAAGAATAACAATTTCTTAGGACCAAATTAGTTAGTTTAGAATATTATTGTTACTCAATTAAAGCACATTTTGGATTAATGCATATGACATACAATTTTTTATCTTAATCTTATTTTTATATAAATCTGATCAGTCATTTAGTAATACAGATCCAAAGATATTTACACATTTTAAAGTTTATAATGCTATTTTCATTCGTTACTCAACAAAAACTTTCTATACTTTAGTGTTGTTACGCTAAGTATACCCATCTAACTGAAATTTTATCTCAATAGATAAATTAAATGTACAAAATTACAACTTTTATTATTAGTATTACTGTTCAAAATTTCGCATTTAAAAATAATTGCGATGGAAACAATAAAAAAAACAACCCTACAAACTAATTCCTACAATTATACTAAGATATTGCTAAAATAACGATAAAATTGTGGTACATAAAAATGAAACCAATGGCTCCCAGAATATCCTCTTTATTCTTTCTCTTTAACACAATAGTACAACAATGCAAAATTTAACGAATTTTATGTAATAGCCATTCAAATAGTATAAAATGGTTTATATTGTTACATTTTATTAACAGTCCACCAGTACATTTTGTAGTAAACGGTTAACACCAAGTATCACAAAATGTCCACAAAGGTTATGAACGAATTTTTTTAATTCTTGCAATTATACAAATGTATTGTTAATTGAATCCGTACTAGCTAGTTATAATAAGTTTGTTTTTCATTGTAAACATCACAATTAAATTTTAAATGGACTTAGCCAGATTGAAGATAAATATGAAAATAATTAAATAATATATTTTACAGTTATTATTATTCGCTTGCTTCGTGGGAGTCAGTCGAGCGGTTGTGGTAGATTCTAGTCAAAGTTACAAGGACAGTCAAGAAAACTCAAAGACGTGGCAGTACATCAATGTGTATCACTATCCAACTGCACATTATATTCATAAATATGACAACTATGTAAGTATATGAATGAAATTGTTTTTTAAAATATACCTAAGCAATTTCGTTACTTTATAATATTTTTTAATTCATAAAATATTCTTTATGAATTAAAAAATATTGTGTAAACATTGTACCCTATTTTTTCCACACATGCATTCAAAAAAGTGTCATTTTACGAAATCGATTGTATTTTACTTTTATAGAACAATAAAAAAATAATTCACAAATATGCACATATTGTTTTTTATTTTTCATTAACATACTTCTTTAATAATCACAATCTCTATGAGATATCATAAAATATATAAAAACTAAAATAATTCAATTGTGTTAATATGAATTAACTATGTATAATAGATATACAAAGCAAATAGTATTTTAGACAACTAAGATTGAATGAAACGCATAATAATAAACACAAAAATTTAATAATAAGTTGTATTATTTACTAACCCATTCTTACAGGCTTACCCTAAGTACGAATTCGAATATGCAGTATCGGATAAAAAGACAGGTGACCACAAACACCACCACGAGTCCCGAGATGGTGATCGAGTACACGGTGAATACGGGCTGATCGAGCCTGACGGTTCTTTGAGGAAAGTACAATATGATGCTGATGATATCAACGGGTATGTACAAAAAAATTATATAATAATTTTCAAATTAGTTAAATACTTTGTAAAAACTCCTTGTGATAAGCACAATTTGGTACCGTTATTTCATCCGAGTTTCGATTAGACAGTTAATTTACTAGATAAGTTGCATGATATCTTAGTCCTAACACGTGAGTATCGCGGGATGCACATGGTGGAGGTCACACCTTGTGTATCCATGTATTATGTAGAGACTACAGACCATCTTTTTTCAATTGTTTGAATTGTTTACAGCTTCAATGCAGTTATAAGTAAATCCTACAACAAACATGGTGATCATGCGTATTCTATTACTGGCCATACTAGAGAATTTGGACATGGAGTTAAGATAAATCACTATTTTCCTAGTAAAAACTACTATTTCCAAGAAGCTCAAGATATTGTAAAGGAGCCAAAACCGGTAAAAGAAGACATACAAGACCCTAAAAAGATTGAAGAAATAAGTGCTGTGCCAAGCTCTCAACCTCCAATTTCTGAACCTTCCATAATGGCGATACCTGAAACAATTCAAACAAAAGACGAAGATGCAATTACAAAAATGGAACCCGTAGAAAATGTACCAATAAAAATAATTCCAACGGTGGTATCAATGCTTACGCAGAATAATGCACAATTAAGTACTGATAATGTTGTAATGGTGCCAGTAATTAAGGAATCTAATGATATACCAAATAATAAAGTAGAAGTAAATGAAAATATGTCGGATGTAGAACAAACTCCGACTGATTCTGAAGTGGCTTCATCATATTACCGTTCTAAAATTTATTATGTAAATTTCTAATATTTAAAAAGTAAAATAGGTGGTATACTAATTTTGTAACCACCGTTGTTGTTGGTAATTAGTTGGTTTGTTTATGGAGATGTAAATGTAGGTACTTTATTCAACTTTTCGACTGAATTTATGAAGTAAACGAATTATAATAATATTGAATGACTTTTACTTGTCTGTTTTTAAGTTTTAGCACCATCTATCATTGACTAGTGTAACTTTAGTAAAGAAAAATCAATCATCAATCTACCAGCAAGTTACTTACTTGGTGAAAGCATTGCTGGCACTACACTTTAGTATGAAATACGCAGATGGCGCTACTGGTATATGTTTGAATACTTTAAACTTACTATCAAATGGTAATTTACAAAAGCTTTACAAGTCCCGTTGTAGTAGATAATTTGTGAAACTCTTTATTAATGTACTAGCTCATACCCGCTAGTTCGTCTGCTTAGAATTAGTACTTCGAGAAATCTGTGTTTTAATTCATTGATAAGTTTTATATCTTTAATTGAAAAATTATGAATTTCCATATAAAAATTCATCTTCTATGACAGATCATTACTTTAGATTACCTGATGATTTTTTTCTATTATCCTGACAACGTTCGTGTAAGTCGTAAGACAGTCGACAGATACACTTTCGTATTTATATGAAAAAGATTTTCATATAAATACGAAAGTGTATCTGTCTGTCTATCTGTTTATATAAAAAAGCTGTAAAAATCGTGTACAACAATATTGTTATATAATTTACTTACGCGTGACTTCGTCTATATTTTCTAGACAAATGACCATTGTCCTGATATCTATCTTTCTGCCAAAATTTATTAAGAACCGTTTAGCTTTTTTGTACGAAGAGGTAATAAATAGACAAACACAATTTCGTATTTATATAATAATAATATCTTGGCATAATTCACACAGCGCCATCTAGTCGCAAGCTAAGCAAAGCTGTCTAGTATCCATAAAATGTGTTATGGATACTAGACAGCAAAAATAAATATATGGATAGTTTTTTTTTAATACACCCAAAACAATACAAAAAATCATACACATGAGTAAAAATGTTGTACTGTGCGAGGAATCGAACCCGCAACCATGGGAAGTAAGGCGGTGTACTAAACTACTAGACCACCGAGGCCATAATAATATAATAGATAATATTATATTATATATTGATATGGAAATACTAACTCATAAAATACTAGTTATTTCACGAGAATTCGTCTGCGATTTGCAAGTGTACTCAAATACTTGCCTGCATTACATTTTATGGATAAAATTGTTAATTTTTATAAACACTATCACTGGGCAACAAATTTGACTTTTACACCTGTTAAGCAAGTCCATCCACCGTTGCATGAAATATGCAAGTACGTACTTACATACTTCGAACGTTTTACAATACTTTGCATTTTAAAAGTACTATTTCATAAAATATAATTAGGTACATACTTTTGTTCAACAAACACAAATTCTTGACATCATTTTAAAATAATATTATAAAATTGCAATAAGTATCCAGATAATTATAAAATTAGAATTTATTTTAAAAGTCAAGATACTAATGTGAAGTATATTAAAACTTGTGTTTAATTTCTAATGTTATGTATATATTTCCGTAATTATTGTCTGTAGCAAATAACTTGGATATTCAATTACTAATATTATGAATGTAAAAATTATATCTTTGTAATACGCTTTAATGGCTGGATTAATTACAGTAAAATTTGGTGCACGTATAGGTCATTTGCTAAATTATTATTTATGAAATAAAATACTTTCTAAACAATTCAAGTAAGCAAGGTTTTGGCTAATGTTTTTAAAGTCACTGACATCTTTTCAATTCTTTATTATATTCTAACTACTGTATAAATTTGCAAGGATATAAAAGTCAAGAAAAAAATCTCTGCTTCCATTAGAATTACCTTTTTAGCCTTTGAAATTCATGTTTGTATATGCTGTAAATTGTTATAAATTCCTAACCTAACCGAACCGTTTTAATTCTGGAGTTACAATCAATTCACTTTATGTGAATGTAATGAAAAACAAAATTAGTCTTCTAATAAAAAAAACATGCTGCAAATAAAATTTGTGACTTTTAGGAAACTACTTTAACTCGCTGGTTCTATTCTCGCACGATACACACCTTGTATTGATGAGTATGATTGGTCTATATATTATTTGTATTATTAATGTACCTAGTTATAAAATAAATATATCTATTTCTATGAGCTATCTAACACATAGTACAAGCTCTGCTTAGTTTGAAGCTACATAACGCTGTGTGAATTGTACTGGGTTTTGCCTATTATTAAAATTTATCTAGCCACAAAATAGACATGACAAATTAATGATAATGCGTTATCACGCTATTACTTGTCTAAACTTATAATGTTCTTGAAATATTATATCATGTATATTTAGAGGTAGATTGGTTATATAATTATAATGGTTCAATTATTGATTTTCGATACGCTAATACAATTACTCTATCAGTGTCTAGTCGTGTGTAACAAAAATATTATAATTCACTTTAGTCTCTTGCCATTGATAAATGCCCTTCACGTTTCTAGAATATTCTATCAATATATATTATAGCAATATAATAAAATAACAAAATATCTTTATCGATTGTAGATAGATAGAATATTGTCTTTTTAGAATCACAGGATGTCTATGAAGAACAATAGTCCATAATGCAAATAAAATTAAAATTTGTATAAAATCATGTACTTATCCACCCTATTGAAATCAATAGTAAAATTACTTATTATATTATGAGATAAATCAAATTAATTGCTTTTATAAGACTGTTTACTTTTTAAATATAACTTTTAGAACTTTCAAGTTCCAATTTGGTTTATTTTTATCTTGGGTTTCATTGGCTCTCTGATTTCTTATAATTCAATGGATTAAATTGTACCAGGTAAGTGCTGTTATTGTTTTTTTATGGTAGAATCATATAATATATTGCGACATTGTTATACTGGATAATAATAACGTCAATCATACCGGAGCAACCAAGATGTGATACTAGAATATGGTACAAGGTACGAGGAGTCTTCAAGTCAGCACATAAATTTTATAGCATGAACTCAGTCTATATATTTAAAATTATCAAAAATCAATTCTGTGTCTAACATCAATCGAATACACATTATCCAATTGTAGTTTATTTTATATTTAATTTAATTATTACATATATAGCCTTTTTTGAGTCTCCTGTGACTTCAATAACTTGTTACAAAATTTTGTACATGTTGTTTATTTTTATTATCATAATTATTAGAATAAAAGTAGAGTCGTCCTACGTTGATTAAATTTTCCACGGACTAACCATGAAAAGTAATTTCTATCTGAATATAAAGATATTGATTATATGAATTACTCAACGTCAATCATGTTTAAATATAACAATTAATTTAGAAAATTACAGTTAACAAACTAAAATACAACTTGACGTGCATTCATGTAACCGTTCTAAATATGGCAGCCGGCACGCTAAGGCCATAATATACATATTTGAATAACTAGGTCTACCTAGATATAATTAATAGGTAAAATAAAACCAGTACGCGACAAGGAACAGCACTTTCGCTACTGGACCCTTCTGTAGATAAATGTTGGCAATGTGCAATAAATTGCAAATGCTCTCATAACCAACGGCCGGCCTACTAATCTATATCACTGTTATTTCTATTGCAGTGGGATAATACACCACAAGTTGGATAACATTGTTTAACTTCCTTGAAAAAATATTACTCTTAATAATACTAATATAGTCGAATAGAATGTGTAGTACATTTTCTTTTTTTGAAATCTTCATCTGAAAATATAATTTTTAGCATAACGAAATGATGAAACATTAATGTCTGGTCATTACGTTAAAATTTCTCTTCTCAGTAAAGCTTGGTTATTCTAACAAACTATTCCTTAGTTTCGCAGACCTTTCGAAGGGTAAACTAAAACTATGTCTGATTTCCTTCTTAGTATATAATTTACTAATTACCGAATTGAACATGTAATAATTCTATTCTAATCAATGGTGCCAAAATGGAAATATTTTTGTACTCTAGTAATAAGCTTTCGAGAGTATAAAAATATTATTATATGAATGAAATATTAATACAAGTCATAATAACAATATTAAATATCGTATGTGCATAGGTTACTTTTTTGTGCATTTATTGTATTTTAATCCGTAATAAATTATAATCCAATGATTTTTGAAAACGATCAAATTCAAATAGGTACTTAAGTGTCCATATATTCCAGATTAATAATAATCTTTTAGAATCTAACACTATAGTATAATAATATTTCTAAACTCATCATCAAAGTACAACTTATGTTAGATGTAATGGAGATATTTTGTATATCATATGCTATGCATCGTCTTGAAGTTTTAAATATTACCAATTATAACAACTCACACCCAATTGGTATCAGACAAAATAATAATTACAGTTATCATCTCGTCTTGAATTCTCAGATTAAACAATTGCAAAAATCTGTAACAATATTAGCCTCTCACTTAATGTCCATTTTATCTACACATTGTAGCCATATCGAGTGTTGCGACACCCGATAAAGTGAGCAGATTGGCAATGCGGCAATTACTGTGATCCGATCGGATATCGTCGGGAATAGACCCCCTCCATGCCACTTATGTTTTGTTTGTTATATAAAAAGAGTGCACTATCACAGCAATACCAGTCGTCAAGGCATTTGTCTCTAAAGCAAAATGTTCTCCAAAGTAAGCAGTGCATTCCAAAACATTAAAAAAATTACGCAACTGAGATAATTTTGCTTCTGTAGCAAACTAAACCATGTTACGGACACAATGGAGCTTGCAGCTTTATAATTTATATAATTACATACATTGTATTTGCATACACCTGAATTTTAACATTGAAACAAATAATTTAATGTTATGTAATTATTACTCAAATAAGTAACGTTCCTGATATCGTTTTCAGATCGTCCTTACCTGTGCCTTAGTGGCTGTTTGCCACGCCGGTCTCTTGCACCATGCCCCGGCAGTGTCATCTCAGAACATTGTTCGTCATGACCAACCCATCCATCATGAGGCTCCCATCCACTACGCTGAAGTCCACGCTGCACCTATTGTTCACGCCGCTCCTGCCATCCAAGCCGCTGAAATTCACTCTGCTCCAATCCATGCTGCACCTATCCACGTTGCTGCAGTTCATCAAGAGGATCACTATGTAGATGAATACGTATGTATTTCAAGTATATTGTGATCTTTATAACATCACAGTAGTTATGGCGCTGAATTCAATCTCAGTCAAAACAAGTTAGAAAAATAAGAAAATGTACCTGTTTATAAGAAACTCTAAACAATAGTAGGCATATAAATTTGTACTACTTACTTTATACACAGATAAATTGCTAATTTGAGTCTCAACTTAAATTAGCAATTTATCGTTGTAAGTTATGTCTTCTAAGTTGCTCAAATAACTCTAATAAAACAAAAACATATTTTTACTTTAATTTAAAATCTATAAAACTACTGTCTTCTACATTTTATCCAGTTTTTAGATCATCTGCAATAATATTACAGTATCCGAAATATGTATTTCCATAGTTTACTATCAGCGTAACTATATTATATACACATTTGAAGTCAATTGACTTACCACTTTCCACATTTCTAGGCTCATCCTAAATATGGATACTCATACTCCGTGGAGGACCCTCACACCGGAGACCACAAATCTCAGCATGAGACCCGTGACGGTGATGTCGTGAAAGGCGAATACTCTCTGCTCCAGCCTGACGGCTCTTTCCGCAAGGTTACCTACACTGCTGATCACCACAATGGGTAAGAAAATAGAAATCTATATTATATCATAAGATCAGAGAAAACTGTAAAAAAGTCTACCTCAATTTCATCAATTTAGCAATGAGCATACTTTGTAAGCTAATTTTCAATTAGTATGGTTTAATTAGGCAGTGAAATTGCAGGATAATAGACATGAATAGAAAGAAACGTATGATTTGTATAAAGGGTGCCACATAATGCAATGGTTACCTCTTACCATCAGGCGCATCCTCACCTTGTTTACATTTAAATTACATAAAAAGAAAAGAATAGTTCAAAAATTGGTTCACACGATATTTATACAAGATTGGTCACTGAAACTACATTGTAATTAGTAACATATATTTTAACTTTATATTGCGCAAAGGCAGCATACCTAAACATTTTTCTCTCTGGATAACAATTTCTTTAACCCCATTACTTTGAAAATTCTATCTAAACCCTCCAACACAATTACAAATAATTATCTCTCGTAATGTCGTTATGGTAAATTCGTAGTAAATAACGAAATGAACAATATTTCACTACTAACAATTTCAAGCAAACAAGAGTAAAGTAAATTAGACAACTCGTGACTTTTTTAGATATACCATAATATTCAAAACTCTTGTTTTATATATTTGTATGTAGTTTTAACACCTTGTTTTATATATTTTGCCAACAGATTCAACGCAATTGTGCACAACACTCCGCCAGTCATCCACCACCATTAAAAGAACACGTTTATACAATCTGTGATATTAGATATATAAATTAGTTTTTATGTGTTTGTGTGAAATGTTCTCAGTTTCTAAATTTTCTTTTATAATGTAGTAATTATTATTGTTAAACACCATCAGTCATTATTGTTACCGCGAAGGATATATAACAGTTGTTTAATTTTACATTATATGCTTGTAATGAAAACGTGTGACATACTATGTGTATTTGTAAATAAAATAAATAAATGAAATGTACTATAGTATTATTTCTACAAACTCGTACTCATCTAGAACATTTTGCATGTTAAATCTCACGTGCAATTACAGTATAAACGAAACGAAAAATCGCATTGTAGCCCTCCCGCGTGCTAATTACCTTCATGATTGTAAACCTACTGACCGTGGGAATTTAAATATCCCAAAACCAGTTGGGTAATTTCTGGAACGTTCTAAATGAAAATACAAGTGAAAGTGGTATTTGTCTCTTAAAAGACACACATAGGACTTTAAAGAAATCTTATTTTTCAAATTCTACGTTTTAGGAGCCAAGATTGTTACAGTGATATTGCGACGTATCTGCATTAAGACCACCGCAGTGTCTTGTTTAACTAACTCAATACGAATGTAACAACTGAGGTTTATATTACATACCCACATATACTTATTATGAATCTACTTTACAGCCATAAATAGAGAAAAAATTAAACGCATGAATGTTTTAGGTAATATAGGAGTACCGAGTATTCTTTTTAATAAAAACTTGATTGTGTAACCTAGAAATGGTAAATATTCTAGTTTTAAGGTATATAAATAATAAATAAATAACATAGATAATAAAAAAGTAACGTATACTAAAGCAATGTATACTTAAATAGATAATTGCCTTAAGAATTATCATATTTTAGTGACAGTGTTTTTGTCCTTCAACTCAAATATATAATTGACAGTCCATTAGATATTTTTTTATTGACGTGTAAGGTATGTGCCCTAAATAAATGCATTGTCTTTTTTATCACAATTGCATTCCACGTACGACATACAATACTATCCAAGGTTAGTGTAATTTCATCATAATAGTATTATTTTAATGTTATTATGGCAGCTCTTTATATGTTGCTTAATGCTCTAACAATATATTAAGCACCTAATTAATCTTATTCAACATCAGCCTATATTCATTACTCTGTAACATTTGCTCACTGTGTATTTCAACATAGTTTGCCAATTCAGCAACACCAGATAACTGTATCATTTCATCTTACATTACTAATAAGAGTGCGTACTAATGCCGAATTTTTAAATATCATTGGAATGGTACTTCCGCCTTGGCTGTTAGAATACATTTGCGAGACATCAGTGAAATTAGGTCACTTTCCTTATTTTGGTGATTTGATCTGTCCAGGAACCTTGATAAAAATATATCGTGGTGGGATGGTTACAATGGATCTCATAAAAAACAATCCCTTTTATCATAATCATCAATCATAATACTTCTTATCCTTACATGTAAAAGAGGAAGGTTATTCATATGTATTAATAGTTTGTAAATACAATGTTAGTTGTCTTGACATGCTATACTCTTGACTTATATTCGATTCAAACTCAAATATAATTATAGAACAGTAAATTAATAGTACTGAAATAAAAATAAACTATGTAAATATTGTATCTGCATAATCTAATTGATTCGATATTGATTTGATCCCGTTGTTAGTTCTTTATTTGAAGTTATACAGTACCAACCCTTTGCGATGACCAGAAATGACAGAGATTTTTAAGTTAACACGCATGAAATAAGTAGCGAAGCAATAAATACAAAGCATCGCCAGCTTCAGTTTAAATATGGCGACGATTGAATTGTTACGAAAGAAGAACCCTTTTCGGTGTGTAATAAGTGGCCCATCCATTTCGCAAAAGAAGTTTTATTGATGATTTCTTCGAACATAATAAGCGGTGGTCTTTATCATATTCATCGCTATAATTTATGAGGTTGAGTACACCATGCAGAAAAGAAGGAAATAAATAACCTTTACGACAGACTTTAAAGATTCTATCTTTGATTTTTGATTCTTTTGATTTTCCTGTTTTAGTTACTGTTTCATTTTTTATTTTTTAATGTTTATTTATTATTCACAATCGACCCATCAGTTATGTGTAATCGTTTGTTTTTCGCAGCTTTAATATCAACTTTTAGGGAATTGTAATGAATGAAATTTTTGCGAATAAAATTCAAACAGGAATGATGATAATTGTAATAAGGAATATAATATATATTAATATAATATTTAAACATGGTAGTTTCTACATGTCTTATACACGTGCATCGATAAGACCTAAGGAAATCCGTCTCAATTTCGTAACCCAGTGTCGCCGCTCTACACAAGTCCGATATATCGTACCGAACACTGCCGGACGGCTTTGATGCATACCGATTGTCGGCAGGTTTGTGTGCAAGAAATGTTCATTTATATTACATAAACGTAAATTTGCCTTTATCTGTTACAATATAAACATTTTAAAGTCCATAACAACAGATATGGCGATTACTTTTTTTTAAATAACTATTAAATTTTATGTGTTAAAATAAATGTTTTAAAGAAAATACTAAATATGTGGATATAATAAAGGTAAAGCGAATATACATACATACATGATGATGTATGTCAAGAAAAGACATTTGAATTTGTAAAACGAGTAAATAATGGAATAATATACCTATTTACTTTCATGAAATATCTGTAACTTTATGTAAATTAATTTTCCCGAACTCTCAAACAATAAATAATTAAAATCAAAGTACTAATTTATTGGAAATACGCAGATTCTTATCGAATAATTTCGTACAATATGCCTACAGAGGGTGAAAGGAGACAGTTTGTAATGTGGATTGATGATCTTATTGCAACGTACCATCTCAGGTGGACCTCTAAGCGGTTTCTCCTGGTAACTATAAATTCTTGGTGAATTTGTCACGATGAGCTTATTACCTAACCTCATCCTCATCTTATCATCCTCCACTGGTGGTGGCCAGCGTTAACCGTTAGCGCACATGAGTGCAGCACTCCATTATCATCCATAATAAAAAATGTGCCTATAAAACAGTTTTAACAGTAATATAGAATATTTAAACTAATTTTGTAATATCACCTTATTTATACATAACAAAAATTTAGTATTTACTATAACTATGCTATAACTAAACCACGATAAATATTTGAATGAAATATGTATAACATAAATAGAGCAGCTCTCTACCCTGCTAAGAAAAATGATTAAAATAGTAAGTAAATATTGTATTATATTATAAGTAAGTAAATAAAATATTCACTTAAATCTAGTAAATATTTTTGAACCTATTCCACAAATCCATTCCACTTGCCTATAGAAAGTTACATGTGATATGATTCATTTTAATTTGAAATGCTATAAAATATCTGTTATGTCACACCTATCTATTATTTTTAGTACTGTAACAATGACATTGATGTAAACATTGAGTATGTCTGTCTATACGTGACTAGTAACAAGTGCGTGCTTCCAACGTTTATAAAACGATATTGATACAAATCCGTTACGCCTTAAACAAAGGTCAATATTTAAAAGCTTTATTACATTACCAATTAAACATATATTTTATGTTTTTTTTAAAATGTCTTATTATAAAAGTAATTATTTATTGGACTGGATATAATTTAAATTATAAATATATTGTCATACTCGTAGTATCATGAACTCACTGTATGCGTCATTTTATTTTTGTGATGTTACAAAAACAAATTTAGTATTCTTTTGGGTTATTTATTATGCAAAAACGTTTTCCTAAACGAGTAATAACAGATTTCAATAATACATAGAGAAAATACATCTTTTATCTTAATTCACGTGATAAAACTTGATATACATATAATTTCATCCATTTAATATAAGGACGGAGGAAAGAAGTATGTTTGTATGTAGCTCTCTGCTACCTGCGTCTTGGGTCTGCTTGTTAATTAAAAGATCGTCTATGTCGCTTCCCTTAATATAATCTATCTTCATGTCAAATTTCATCAAGATCCGTTCAGCCGTTTAGTGATAAAATAACGTACAACTACGGTTTCATATATTATAATATTAGTATTTATAAAGTATTGTAGGAGTATGAAAATAAAATTATGTTTTTCATTTTCATTACCAAAATCATTATTTATGTTGATGATATACGAGTAAAAATGTCGATTCATATTCATGATGAAATTTCATCCACACAGGGCCAACAATGGTATGTGTTAATGAATTTGAGCAAAACTGGTTGTATATTCATTAAGTACAGTCGACAATAACAACATACGAACACGGTATATCAATAATAATATATGCACTATTGCAGATTCTCTAAAACACTCTTAATAAAGTCTACCTTGTCTAATCTAAGTCTTGGTGGCCGTTTACATTTGGTAGCCTGAATACTAGGTGAAGTGTTCCTAATCTATACCTAGAGACCTATCTCAGATCGGTGTTGTAATGATACTATTTTCTTAATTATTATTTTATAGAAGAGGTAAAAACCCGTTTCTTTTAAAACGGTAACATATTAAATTAGACTTTACTGTAACAAAATTGCGTATTTATTGGATTGTATATTATTGGATATTAGTAAAAATCTTTTTTTTTTTAAATAACATTTAAAAGTATAGTTAACCTTTCGTTTTGATTTTTGCATCATCCCAAATATTTTATGGTCACCCTATATATTTATTGTAATATATAATTCGTGACGTGTCGAAAATTTACGACTTCACTTAAAAGAAGATGGTAAAAAATTGTTGTCGCTGGAAGGTTTCTTTATAATTGGCAGATTAAGCAATAATGAGCGACCTTCACAGAAAGCTGCGCGGGATATACGCTGGTACAATCGCGTTCATGTTGTCTGTAGATCGAGAGAAATATGCGAAGTTGTTACCAACTGCACGTAGTTTATATTGCGAACACACCAAGAAATTTATATTCATAAATACTAATATTACAATAATTAATATTTCACTGTTATTAAATTGTGTATATTTATTCGATAGCTCTTACAGCGTTGTTAGAAAGAATCAAGTGTTAAAGACCTCTGTACTTAGACACAAGTCTAGTTTAATTATTTTCATAATTCGACGGTTCTATATTCGCTCTCAATTCGTTGCGCAGATAGTCATTTTACTTATATTTACTAATAATAAAAATAAACTTATTATTGATCTAGATCGCCATCTAGTCCCAAAGTAAGCACAGCTTGTGTTCTGGATACTAGATAACTGATAGAAATACCTATTTGCATTTTTTTGTAAATGCAAATATATTATACATAAAAAACACCACGACCTATACTAACAAGCATACTCATGAATATAAATGTGTGTATCACGCGAGGACTCGAACCCGCGACCATCGGAAGTAAATCTAAACCGTAAGAGCACCGAGGCCGTCAAATTTATATCTTAAATTTAAAGTATAAACAATGAAAATACTCTCGGTGTGCCACTAGCCCGCCGTTGTGCAATAGTTTACTGGAGCAACCCAGAGCGCTACTTTCTTGCCGTCCCGCTACGCTTCAGACTCGTCCATACGCTATTTTGTTTACCTGTTTCTGTATAGTGTTATTACTGATATTATACTACATTTTATCACAGTTGAATGATTTTCCTATAGACAATATAATCTTAATACATATTATCATTTATTGCTAAATAATATTCAGTCAACTTTATGTCAATGAAATAAACAATCAGTATGTTGACTTGTTGAAGCTGATTAAATATTATTTGGTAATAAAATAAATATGTATTTCTTATTTAACAAGTTTTTGTATATACTATAATTAGAAGTAATTATAAGTTCTATTATATGGCCTATTTAATATTAATATTTAATCTAAATATTAAGTTCCGGTTATCAATTCCAGAATTAAAGAATAAAAATAAAATATAGATATATTTTTAATAGCTTGTAGTCAAATTTTTTTTTTTTGCTATAGTGCTGAATTGAACTTTTATTTTAGGTTTTGGCTTTTACTAAAACACATGTGATCTTAAAAATAAAATGACATGAATTTAATTAGGTTTTTATGTCATTGTATTTTTAATGTATAAATTATATTAATTAATTGGTTTATGACCTGACTGTAGCTAAAAAATTTGATTCAAGTTAATAATAGCTACGTGCCCAAAATGCAAATATATCTATTGACAATAACGACTCACTTGTAAATTTCAATATATTAACCATAATTTTTTCTACTATTGATCAAAATCCAAGTTAAGAATAACCTTATAAAAGATAAATTTGACCTTTGTGAAAGAAAAATATATCGAGCATGATATAGGAAGACATCTTAGCTCATTTATTTATTAATGACACTTAACTCAGCGATTCCACTGTTATGGGTAATAAATTATTTAATATTTCAAATTACTTCATAAATGTAATACATAAGTCAGTTAATAGATAGTCATAGATTTAGTATTTCAACATTTATCGTGAGACTAGACTGAACGGAAATTTGCCGACGCAATCAATTCATTCATATTGTAGTTTATTAAATAATACACCAGTATACATAGAAGTTGATCGTTTGAAATAAAATTATTTTTTCTCTTTTCAAAAATATTCCTGAAATTATCATGGATCTATTTTTCGTCGACCACACTATTAGCATGATCAGATAGTGCGCGTATCAAGAATAATTCTATAGCACAAATAATAAATTGATTTAAATCAGTGCGCCATACAAGGTGTCAAAAAGTAAATCTTCTGAAGAGAGCTTTAATAACCTTGGGCGAAAATGTAAAATTATGAATGCAGTCGTTACGTCAGTGTAAAGGCGATCGTGTGCAGCGGTGTCATATGTCGAGTCCGGTTCTACTGTATCGTGTGACATGCACTCGCACATCGTCATCCCAAGTATAAAAACTACCACCATACCTGGATCTTTATCAAACGTAATTCACTAGTCTGGACATCATCATGTACTCCAAAGTAAGATGGCTGTTTATCTTATTATTTAATAATCTCGAAAATTTTAGAAGACGTCTCAAAAATTTTCGATGCCACATGGTCGTGGCAAAATTCAAACAAAAAATCCAATTGAAAGCTCTTATTTAATAATTTCAAAATATCATTGTAAGCAAGAGAATTTTGAAGAATATTCTAGTTATACCATAATCTGTCAATATTTTGCCAATGGCCTATTCAAAATAATAATATAATTTAAATTATTTAGGGATCTGGCGTGAAGACAGATAGATAAATTTCAATACTTAAAATTTTAGAACAATTTTTTGCAATTTCATCGTTTTGCTAATTCAAATATTTAAACTCAATTTTCTCTGATTGTGTAATTATAACGTCTTACATTTTTTCAGGTAATACTTATCGGTGCAGTGGTGGCAATTTGCCAAGCTGGTATTATCGATGACAGTCACAACCACGCCGTCTCATCACAGAGCATTGTCCGTCATGAGCAACCCAGTGAACGTTCTCATTTCACACCTGTTCTAGAACACTCAGCACCTATCATTGAACATGGAGCTTCGTATATTCATCACCCAGTACAAATCCAGCATGCTACTCCCATTCTCCAACATTCATCATTTCTTGAACATAGTGCTCCGTTCGTGCATGCTGCTCCTGTAGTGCATACTCCTCTTGTTCATGCTGCTCCCCTAGTTCATGCTACGCCTGTAGTTCACGCCGCCCCAGTTGTTCACGCTGCCCCAGTTGTTCACGCTGCCCCAGTAGTACATGCGGCACCTGTAGTCCAAGCACCAGTGGTTCATCATGTAGCATCAGCTGTTCATCAATCTCCAGTTGTTCAAATGAACTCTGCTTCTGGCTATTCGCAACGTGTCGAAGAGAATGTAAGTTTCCTATTATAATCCTATATTGCTATTTTAAATCACGCTATTTTGAAGTTTTTCATTTATGGCTTATTAAGAAGATTTGTACAGATTGGTATATATTGATAAGAACAAACATCCACATTTCTTTGCAAAATTTCAATTTGCTTATAACATGTGCAGTATTCGAAATAACCGTATTTTAAACGAGATATAGATCGAATATTCGAGAGATAAAATGGAGTATATCTGTAAACACAAAGAGAATAGATAAAGACAGAATATGGCTATTTCAAATACTGCTGCATTACACACAGACACGCATCTAAATTTCCGAGTACAAATACAAAGAAAGTGAAAGGCAACTAACTACATACTATTATGATTAAAAATGTGATCAGCTAATACAACCCAATTAAATGTTTATTGTGCAAGCTCCTTGTCGTTATACGACCATAGAAAGTTTTGTAATAATATTATGGGCAATCTATCACGCTGTGCTTTGGATTAATATCTATTTATCATTTATTATTACTAATGGCTGACCAATTCACCAGGCTGTTCTATAACACTAAAATTAAATTGTCCTCTTCTTTTTGGTTCTTAACATGTCAATTTTTAAGCGATGCGAACCAGTTTCTTAAGCATCTGCAATTCCACTATTATATCTAAACACGTTAGTAGGTACCTGTTACGAGGCAATAGTAAGGTGATAATCAAACATGCTTATCATCAATTAAAACATTATTTAATCTCTTCATGGTAACATAATTCGATTGATGTAAATATGCGTATTACTATGTATTAACCCTAAATTAGATAATCCTGCGTAATGTAAAGGCTGATCTGGAAAGTAGTCTAACGGCATACCATGTCTATGGTTTACTTTCATTTGATAAGAATACTAAATCTCGTTGTTTTATTACAAATCTATAGTAAAAGTATTAGTATATATTACAAAAACCAAATAATAATTTGACAAAAACATTGACGTGTATAGAACGATCAATTCATCAATGTAGGAATCGTATTAAATAACAAATTATTTCCGTTTATTTAGTGCGTTTATCAAGGTTTTACTATTTCAGGAAAGACCTCGTGACAAGAATTCATTATAAAGATCACGTTCAAAATCAGCATAATTTTGTTTTACTCATAAATTTTGTATAGCCTATGATAATTAAATGCAATTGTTATATTTTATTGAATACTACTTATAAAAAAATGTTGCTTTTGAAGAACGGTTAATCTGTTTAAACTAACAATAATTTTATAATTTAGTGTTAGTTACTAGTGAGTCTAGATAAAAAAGGCAGAAATATTTCTGCTTTCTATTCTCTACTGACCTCGATAAATAAAGACCTGAAAGATGATAATATACATATCGTGGGAAAATTAATACATTTAGGTATACATACCTCAATTTCTGTCTTGCACGAAAAAGTGAAGTATGGAACACCTACCATCGTCATATATTTATTATATTATTATTATATAATTCAGGCTCCTGCCAAGTATGAGTTTTCGTACTCGGTTGAAGATCCAATCACCGGCGATCACAAGTCACAACGAGAAACTCGCGACGGTGATGTCGTGAAGGGTGAATACTCTCTCCTCCAGCCAGATGGCTCCATCCGGAAAGTAGAATACACTGCTGATGACCATAATGGGTAAGTCTTAAACTAAACTGATCTTAATAAATAAATATAAAGTATTCTAAATATGTTTTAATACAAAATTATACAACACTAGGTACAATAATTATAATATAACTCAAAAAGCAAATTAAATATCAAATATAATAACGAAACCGGAATTCAGTTAAAGTAAACCATTTATTAAATTAGAACACTTAATCCTTAGGGGATCAAAATTACTCGTAATTACTCGTTCATTTAGAATGAACTCCCAACTAGGAAATAGTTGTTAACAGTAAAATTTAAATCGTGACCGTAATACTATCGTAAACTAATTCAATTCATTATAAGAAAGCATTTGATTTCATTCATGTGAACTTGATGCTCATCCATTGGCTTATGTAATATTAAATCTCGATTATGTTAAGGCCAACCGACGTACAAATTGCTAAAGAATTGAAGCTAGCGAGACTAATAACTTTTTGTGTTCAGAAACGCAATGTACGAAGCTTTTATCTTAATACCAAGCGTTGTTTCGGGCGATAAAACAGATAATATCACTACGTAGATTTTCATTTATGCTGCAACTAGATAGACTTATCTGTAATTGATACATGGTCTATAAATATAATGTGTAAATAGCTATAAGGAGACCACTATTTAAATCTCTATCCGTTTTAGTAAAATTTACATTATATTTATTCTAAATTTTATTATTTAATTAAATTACTTTCGTTTTCGTGATGTTATCTATGGAAAAAATATAACCGTAATTAATAATAATAATAACTTTATTATGCAATTAAAAGATACAAAATGGACTTAACTAATGTTATTTATTTAATTAATTAAGCTAATATTTAATCTCTAGCACTTCACATTTCGTCTATTATCCTACTCTAAATACATAAATATGATATATAAAGAAGAAAGATTTTTTTGCAATTTTAATAGAAGTTCCTTGTTGAATTGATCGAATTAGTATGGGTGAATCAAAACTATTTTCTTAATACGATGTGTTCCAAAATATGTTAGTTTAGTGGGTACATACTATTACTGACTTTTTCATTGGGTATACCTGTTACCGATAATCGAATATATGTTTTATAAAAACCAGTATGAAGATGCTTCATAAAAGTTTAATAACTTTTATAAAACTCTGATTGAATAGAATATAAAATACTTTATTTAAATAAAATAAAATATAAACACTTTTCAGTAGTAATACTTTTTAGTTATTTTTTTAATCTACCACTCGTGCAGAAAGTCTTATCATTTTTAAATAATCGTTGTAACTTTACATTTTTCAATATAGAAAATGTAATAAATAGAAGCAAGTTATTCGCAATTTGACTTATGTTTAGCAAATCACTTTTTATCATTTGATAGGGTTTACTTACTAACGCAATACCACACTAATTTTGTTACGATTAGACTGTTTATTTATTGTGAAATAAAAACTTTTCTCACCTCCATGTTTTCTTCTACAGTTTTAGCGCAGTGGTGCACAACTCTGCCCCGAATGCGCACGCTGCACAAACTGCACCCGTCCAGGAGCACACGCCCATTCAACCTGCGCCCGCGCACTATGCACATCATTGAATCACCATTTTCGCGCACTGACTGTATTAACCTATACTATTTATAATTATACTATTTAACTAAACATAATATCGTCGTTTCAATTAAAACTGAAGTACATATATTTGTGCATTCCACTGAAATTCCTTTTTACGCAAATAGAAAGTAATCTATCACTAAATAATATCTACTAAATAATCTATCAGCCCACCTAACGTCATCTGATAATTCATATCTATAGACATTATGAGTAGGTACCTCAAAAATGCATTGAAACATTGGAATATAGCCCACTTAAATTGCTATTTCTGAAAACTGATACGTTATATTCATCATAAACAGGTTTTTACTACATTATTAATATCTTAAAAATCTTTATATGTGCTTATGAAAAATATATAATGGATTATATATTAAAAATCTGTTAAAATTGTTTACTTTTGATATTAAAAATTAAATATAAACAATAATAAAGAAACGTGGTGATCCCATCACACTGTATCAATACTAAATATCTTCGATCTAAAAACATAAGAATATGTGCATAACATGTTTGAATATACTAATTATGTACATATAAGATTAAAAAATATCATTAGTATCTACAAAAAAGTTGTAAATAGCTGGCTTTTGTTTTGTACCCTAGATGTTTGATCAAAATCTCGTTTATACCGAGTGACACAGACAACTGAACAGTATTATCATAAATACTGTTCAGTATAATAAAGATGTATTACTATTTACACACACATACACACACAAGGAAAATTGTAATTTATATATATGAGAGTTTAAATTAATCAAAACCAATGTATAATCAGCACAGCGATGTAATACATCAAGTAGCATAATCATGTGTGCCTAAAAATACTTTTACGCACTATTGATGCAGGAAATTGAATTATTCTGCAGAAAGTGAACAATTGTATTACATCAATAGCGGTAGGTACATATGAGTACGCATCCAACGTGTGAAGTTGAGTAACTCGCTAATTAACAGTCGTAACTGTATTCCGATCAGAATATGGACAAGTAAATCATCGATTAACTTGTCCATAATTATACGCTTCACTATTTTGTTACAAAAGAACAAGAGATTTTTTACAAAGAATAAAACAAACCTATATTAAAAAAAATAGATTGAGTCTCTTGTATCTGAGGTCAGTTACAAAATATAAAAATGACATGAAAAGAAGGTATACCTCAACTGTTTATAATGTTTATGGAGAAATATAAAGCATAATTAAGTTGGTATTAATTTTCTATTATTTCAGTCCTTATACACTGAAAAAATACCAAAGTCACAGAAAAACTTAACTGATACAAAAAATATACCAAAATTTTGTTTACATCTGTTTTATAATATACAAAAATTATATACACAGAACTGTTTTTATAATGAGACATTTAACGTTAATTACTTAATTATCACTACTTATACAATATCTGATATCACTATAAATATGTATGACGATATGGAACATGGTTAACTATTTCAAAGATCTTACGTACCTAAGTACTCGTGTATTACCAAAATTTATAAGTTGGTACCTACAAATATAACAAAAGTGAAAGGTGAGGTACTATTTGTTAAAAATAAAATAAGTTTTATTGATAGTAAGTATAGAATAATAATACATTAAAATGTAAAGGTATCGGCTTTACTCACTGATCGCGAAAACCACCTTATATTATGAGTAAAGAATTACTATAAAAACAATATTTATTATAAACTATTAAAAATATATATATATTCGTATTGATTAAGAATTGTGGTATTTATTTTATATTTTGTGCAGTTTTTCAATAATCAATAGTACATGGTAATGAACATATTTATGTATTAAACATGTTATTTGAATATAACCGTAGAAAACATGTGTAAGTAATTTCTCACATTAATCGGAGATGTACAAACATGTTTTAGTTCTAAACTACTTCCAAATTATTTATTGCCTATTAAATTATAATACTTTACTGCTTTCAAATTTCCCAGGTACTATTTTAAACCTGAAAGCAGAAGAAAGTTTCTTTACAAAAATTTAGTAATTCGCCAAAAAGCTCTCGTAAAAAAACTAGTTGTAAGTGTGACTATTATGTTATGTCAAATACCTCTCATTGTGTTCGGCGTCAATGAAAGACCTTGGCCTACTGCCACAGTAGGCATGATTTACTATACTTTTTCCTTTTTTTCCGTTGCGACATGAAATAAGAATCGACGTCTTGATTCATGATCATTAATAAGAAAACCAAAGAATTTATGTACGTGCTTAGTTTAAATGTAGTATCTACTTCTTTACATGTATTCATTATAAATTTTGTGTTATATAAAACACGCAATCGTGTGTACCTTTTACTTGCTTCAAAAATTTTTATACATTTATTTGTTAAAAGGGATTTTGTAATATACTCCTGGTTAGTTCAATGTTATCAAAATGAAAAACCCCTCTTACAAAAAACTTTTATAGTAATTCTATAGAACAAAATTGATTATTTATTTATCACAACGAATTTTTTACACTCCGAACTAATAACAAAGATACTAAAGGAACTAAAAATTTTTTTAATATTGAATTTGAATATAAACCTGCATACTTATGATACGGACATGATCATCATCAGGATCATGATGAGGATCATATTAAAAGATAGCATAGTATTTTTTACACATCTATTAGCATTCATGGATAGTATTTGATCGTTAGTTCTGTAATTTACAAGATCTACATATATAGGTATTATTAGCTATACAAACTTGTTTTCAACAAGTTGACTTGATAAAATCAAAAAACCCGATTGTTATACACATTCTACGACCATCATATTTAATTATTACTGTCGTTATTTAAGCCCGGTGTATATTAGTGTAATGTTACGAAACCTCGCGTACAAAATCAGGATATACGTAGTTACTATAATAATAACACTGGACAATTCGCTTAGTGCTATATACTCAACAACAACAGGGAAAGACAAACATACAAATCAATATAAACAGTCATAAGTACTGGTGAATACAAATGTTTGCATCGTGCGAGGAATCGAGCCCGCGACCATCGGAAGTAATGTGGTATGCTAAACCGTTAGATCACCGAGATCGTATTATATACATACATTCACATATTTACTTTAGAAGGCACTTCAATATATTACTGTCTTATATTGCTATAGTATAAATAAGTGTAGTATGCAGCGGTGGGCTTTACAATAGTAAGAAAGATATAGTACTTTCTTCATATAAAGACCGTCATTTGTTACGTAGGGAAATACCTTAAATACACTCATGCTTGCCTACATCATATTATTTTGACTACGTTTTAGATACACGTATTAAAAATTCTCTTATCGATAACAAACAAATTTATGCAGATGTACAAATGTATATAGTTTGTAAAATTGGCCGATTGCAAGATTAATTCCGTAAATATACCCTATGTTATACATTGCACCAGTGCAATTTGATACTAAATTATAGTCTGAGGTAAAGCTGAATAGATTCTGATTTTGCACCATTTAGTCCAGAGGTGAATGACAGATGAGTACGTACCAGTTTCTAGTCGGATTATGACTCATGTGTCAAACTGCATTGCCAAATAGATACCCGTAATTCAAATACATTTCAATAATTTTATTATCTTACTAATATTATAAACGCGGAGGATTTTGATAATGGATAGATGTCTGTTACTGTTTCACGCAAAGAGTGCTGAACGGACATAGATGAAACTCTACATCAAAATAACACATAGGCTACAACTTTCATGTGGGTGCCGCGGACACAGTTAGTATCATATATTTTAGAATTTTGAAGTATCTGGTCACATAATTTATAGTAACTCTATTTTTTTAATTATTATACTATTTGATTAATTATTTTTTATAAATAAAGCCTATATTTGATTAAATAGAGCCGAAGTTTAATTAAATTGTTGATACATAATATCATTAATATAAATAAATGCAATTATCAAGTCTCGCCATATATGCCATATACATACGCCATGTATATATTATGATGGCTATAACACTGATCTTAGACTCCTAAGATCCATCTAGAGTAGTCGAAGATAACTTGGCTAAGAAAAGAAATTTTATTAGAAGTATAGTATGGAGACGGAAGGGTATATTTGCAATGTAAAAAGAAGTTTTAAATAGAATGTTACTTAAAATTACGAAATGCTTGCATTTAGGCAGGTCTAATTATTAACTATATAATGAAATTGAAAATATGTTGATGTTGATCATTAAACACACCACTCAACACCAAATTGCACCCACACAATTCGCTAGTTATAAAATGTGTTATGTTTTAAAGCCCGCCCAACAAGGTCGCAGTTACCGCAACTGTCTTTTACACACTTCTTTACTTGGCAACGCTCTAGTTAACCATATGTAATTGCGAAGAACTAACAAGACGCTGAACTGAGAGAACATAAATGTAAATAAACATGACTCACATTATCGTTACAATTAAATACTTAAACTTAGTCTTCCAGTAAAATTTAATAAGAAAAAAAAAAGAATTCTACTCCAATGAGGCTATTTAAAAAAAAACATTGATAGCAATCGGATGATCGATATGTACATGAATCGATAGGTACAATACAAACACAGTATTTTGTATATTACTGAAGAGTGTCATATTATCGGTCATGAACAGATGACATAACAACATATAAACGATGTTGTAGGGTAACTATTCTAAATGTCAACCGTCATGGAAAATGTCCGGTTTTCCTTCTTATTACTAAAGCCTTCTTAATTTAGCTACAAAAAGCGTTCAATCGAAATAAGAAACGTGTGTAAATGTTATATTATGGATTGCATGTAGTGATTTAGATGGAGAAGGACATATTGACCACTATATTTAATCACTTTTTATCCACATGAACTGGAACATCCAGTCACGAGTACGAAATAGATGAAAACTAGTTAAAAATAGTTACGTAAAGTAATCTTCCCATTTATCATTAATTACTAAACTATCTAAATAAAAACATTTGTAGCAGTAATTAAATAAATATCTCAAACTAAGACCTATGATTGATACACGACTATGAGTTGATATTGGCCTTTAACTTAATACATATTAATATATCTTGTAAAGAGCAAAATAAGCATATTGTTACAAAATTTTAACCTTGCACAGATTTAGAATTTTATAGAAAATTCTCAATTGATTAGCATCTCCAAGCTTTACTGGTTTGATATGTATTTTATCTTGTTCAAATAAGTAGGCATTTTGGACCTACTCCTTAAGATAATACTATTTTTACAGCTTAACTATGCATTGAATAAATATGTTCTTTACCGATCAACTCGTAGCTGATTTATACTAAACTTTTCCAATGCTCCTCCACTATCAGCACTGTCGTAATCAGATCAGATCAGTAGGTTAATGGACTACCGACTGTTCTCTATGCCTCTGCTGACTACACTTCGACCCAATCTTCAGCCCTCCAACCTGATATCCGGTTCATGCTCATTTCAACAGTGTAATTCTCTTACCAAAGTTTTCGACCTTAGTTCTACGTCAATACTCTACATACGAGTATGACGAGATAATACGATGAATAATAGTAAATTTATAAAGTTAATATAGCATGCACATTAATCTTTCATAAAGCAAATCTTTATATTCGTATATATTTATTTCATTATGTATCCATATTGTTTACGACGTATCAACATATATATTCACAATCTTAAATTATATTTAGAACTATAAAAAATTAAATAAGTCCTAAAATTTATTGATGGCTAAAACTTATCGCCTAAAGATGTTAAAAAATATATGATATAGAAAGAAAAATGACATGATAGAGAAAGTAGTTAAGTAATATCAAACACGACAGCCAAGATATATTTCTTCTAAAATATTCAATTGCATGACAATTGGCTTGTCATTAAAATAAATTACTATTTAGAAACTATTATTAGACGATAAATATATCAATTACAAATAAAAATACTAGTACCAGTACCTACATATAGACGACATTATTTAAGTTATTCCTCATATGTTAATAAGCTTTAAGGTCATTGCAATGCTAGCTTCGTAAGTGAGCTGAAAATGAAAATGTCAATGACCTATAGATGACAAGAAGAACTATTGAGATCAATATAATATCAGCGATATACAATTGCATTTGAAACATGCTATATTCAGCGGTATGGATGGTCCATTTACAGTCCAGTCTCGTTGATACATTTATATATAGGTGATATAAATTTAAAAATCAGTCAATATAAGAACATGTAAAAATTTTATGACATTTGTTAGTCTTGCTAAAACTCGAGACAGACTGGACAGAATTGGCTAATTTTGGTTTGGTTTTGAAATATTTTTTTAGAACTCTAAGGAGTAAGTGGTGGAGTAAGCAAGTAAGTGGTGAGAAAAATATGAAGAAATTCCATGGAAAATAGTAATAACAACAATTTTATTTTCCCATACAAATTGTATTATACTGATTCCACCTGTCATACAATTAATTTCTAAACGGACCCTCCATTCCGAAATTTATTACGTAACCAAACTTTAAAATACCTTTTAGTCAAAGGTTATTTAATTCTGAGAGTCTGGTATAAAAATTCAAGTTCTTCCTCTTTACGATAACAGTACAGATCGAAAATTGCGGATACCTACTGTGCTGGTATTTAACCTCGAACTAGTAGCCCCAAATTCAAGGTCATTATCATCCGCTATAGACTGACTGTCATAAAACATGCCTATAGAAGCTTACCTAATTTAAATTTAATGTCTTAAAGATTATGCTAAGTTACATCAATATTTGTAATATAGTAAACTGAGAGAAAACTAGAGATCAACACTTTTAAACTACATAAGCTTTTGTAATGTTACATGCTTTGATTTATAATGTTTTCTATAGTTAACACGCATGCAGCGATAGTAAAGTGTTAAAATTATTGTTTCCTGATTGTAACATTGGCAAACGACGAAGTCACGTCTTACACTAGCATTGTTTAAAGAATGAACCCATAAATTTCTACAAAGAACCACTTGATATTGTCTGCTGCCTGCTGGAATTGATATTTGATCTGCTTTCTTCGCATGAGTCGAGCTGATGCAGATATTAATCTCACCTTGAACCATGCATAATACTGCATAATTTTACGTAATTGCTATATTATTATCAAACTACCGTATTCTTTCTTGCGTATACATAGCACACGCGTCGCATCTCGCTTAACTAATATAAAAGTCGGTAATTTCGCTCTTCGCTAACAGTTGTGTGTGGTCGGTGAGACGAAGCAAACCTAAATTCAAACACAAAATGATCGCTAAAGTAAGTGTAATCCGTGATATAATCTCCCGTTACGAAATTAAGTGAAAGGATTTGCCGAAACGTCGACATAAGTGATCTGGAGCAACCCCGAGGATTTATTGTTTCTCGGAATAGTGTTCTATACAATTTTATGCTCCAATTTTTTTTTTCGATAACAATTGAATCGGGATTATGCAATCAAATTATTTAAATGATTAAAGCTAACCAACGTAAATTTATGGCCCGGGCGTGTAATTAAATTAAAACGATCCTTAATTATAGAATTAAGGATCGTTTTTTTACGTAATGTCACGATAACTGTAATAGAGCTTAAAAGTTCATTCACTGAAATACAAAAATAAAGTATTTAACATTTTTTTTGTGATTTAAGTTTGTCCGCCGTTATATTTTCACTGCTATATTTAAATGAATGTATTAAATCTACACTTCCATTGTATATACATACACATTAAAATTGCACAAAACAATGACTAGAAACTAAACATAATTTACACATGTTTCCGTTATAGCTCAGCGCCAACTGCCATAAACTTTCTACTTCTGCATTTATAATCTGAAACAAAGGAAATGAATTCCATAAGAAATACAAAGCAATAGAATTACTTTAATATGGATAATCTTAATGTACAGTATTTTATTTTAATCATACGAAATTGTATTTTTTTACCAGGTAGCCGTCGTCTTGGCCCTCGTGGCGTTGGTATCAGCCGGAGTAGTCCCGGTTGGATACGGTGGTTACGAACAAGGCGCAATTGCTTACGCACCCGTCCAACAAGTCGCCCAATATGGAGGCTATGATGACAGACACGTTGACTACCATGTAAGTTCATTATTATGGAAGATATAGATGCACTCTAAAAAATCTTATTTCAAAACATACAATACAATGAAAGTATTATGTGATTCTGGATATAGTTTATATATTTTTGTTTCCTTTGATGGTTGAGGAAGTCGAAATTGAAAATATATAACAAGTTAGTTTTTTTATATAATAAAATGTCAAATAGGCTAGCGGTTCTACCGAAACATTGAGCCAAGCTTTTTATTTAGAATAAATAAACATTTTCAAATATATCCCCTAGTATATTCCTGGGTTGCCATTTCTGATTGTTAACATATTATAATTTAAAACTGCGCTACAAATACAGTTTGAAAGATACGCTTTTTGGCGAAAAAATTAAGTAATATATAATATATAGTACACAGACGATTTTAGGTCTTCCTCTGGAAAATATAAAATGTGTCTTAGGCAAAAGGTAAAACTATCTAATTCGGTGACATCTTTAAAACAATTTGGGCATGCGAAGTATTTGTTTTTTACAATCTCTAATATAAGAAGAATATTATCCTAGTTTTTTTAATATCAATGTGTGCACGTGCCCTATAAAGGCTTTAGGAGAATGTTATTCCATATATCAACGATCCAAGACCAATCATAATATCTGGATAACAAATACCACTTTTAGTCATGTAGATCATCAACATATTTACCATATTAGCGGCTAATAACATTATTTTATATAGTAAACAATATGTAAATTCCATATTCAAAAGTTACCAATATCAACTTTTTATGGCATTATTACGTTAAGTTATACATGTTATGTAAGTATAAAAATTACATTATATTTCATAGCTGAAATGTTACCAAATATATAACAACCTATTTAGTATGCTAGTTTAGAGCTATCCAAGTAAGGATACACAATTACAACGTTCACTTGTCCATATAAACAATACAACATTATTTACGTCAACATATTTATAATACGCCCAGTTACGAAATATCAAAATATACAAAAAAAAGATAAAGTTATAATATAACCAACCTTCAGTTAATGAACATTGTGGTGAGGAACTCGCAATGTGTGCACACAGTAGTAATCTCAAAGATCATTATTGCAACACGATATCTCTGTCATACCAGCTATAAATTCATCACATTTTAAACCTCTAAGAAATTGGTCAAGGATATGCATGTAAAAAATTGTAACAGTAGCTAGCTTGTAATTTTCTGCTAATTAACTCTTACACTAAACAAATGCATACTAATTTGTAGCCCGTAAGTGGAGCACCGAAGCTAGTTTTGTTTTCCTAGGTTTGTATTACTTTGCAAGTGACGTAATACAATACTAACTAGCTAATTGATAACTTGCATAAACGCGCGTGCTGTACGGTCAAATATAATCGAAGCTGTTTCCGGGATAAGATCTAAGACAATAATGCTTCTTAGTACTTACATTGCATCATCACAGTCCAGATAGCTAAATTCAAGCGAATAAGTACGAGTAACATTATATTTCCCCAGAGAAAATGTAGGTAATGTATGCACGCAAATCAGACATCGCAATGCAGGTGTATCGGCATTTAGTTTGTTTCTCTACGCGGTTGAATGAGTAACAACCTAAGACTTTTGTTATTATGTAAGCAGAGCTTTATTATAATATACTGAATGCCAACTTACTACAAATAAATATTATGTACTTGTATAAAACACTACTATTGTAGTATATTAATAAATCTGTCATAAATATTACCATTTACTTTTTATTATTACTATTTATTTCTGTTACAAATATCTAACATGATCTATAATATAAAAATTGATTGTCATGACTGACGAACTAACTGATCTATCAAGGAAAAGCTGAAACTAGAGGCTAGTTGTATTATATTTTAGAATAGGTACTATTTAAAAATGATTAAGTAAAAAAATCCCGGTATTTACACTAAATTTCATCACTATTCCTAGATATATCAATTATTATAATATAAGTTCGTAAATCTGGCTAGAGATATTATACTCCATTAACTATAAATAGGCACTTGCTTACACTATTATTTACGTCTAGGTGCTATAATGTAACAGTCAATATATCTCTGAGAATTCACGGTTCAAATACCTGTTAATGATGCAGTCGTAAATCGATAGAATAATTTGAAATGTCCTAGTTCTGTATTACATAAAGCCTTAGCAGCAAATCCTGGTCGTGACTGAAGGGCCGATAACGTAGCTGTTCCCAGAACATTGCGACATTTGCATCTACGCGAGGGACGTAATGACTGTCATGATACGAGTGGGAATGGACCGTTGTTTGCATAAACTGGCGCGTGCTCTCACGCTCGTTTAATGGCAGATGTGGATTTTGTCGGTCTGTTGCCGACCCAAATACAACGTTGAGCAAACAGACATTTGACAGATTTGAATATTTTGAAATTCTGATGTAATATTCATTATAAATTTCTATACAATTTTAATGAAATCTAGAACAAACAAGGAAAGATATAGCTATGAACATCCGCAGAAACAGCTACAATCAAGCAATCAAAAGAATATTTTTTAAAATTTCATTCACTTTATTTGTTATAAAATTCTTTTATTTGAGTAAAATAAAATAGTATTAAAGTTGATTCAATATAAGAAAATAAGGACTGGCAATAAATGTATCAATGTACACAAAATTTGTTCTTAATATGAGACTCCACTATCACTATTCGAGTTATATTTTATGTTCTACGCATTCATATTGTATGACTTATTTTTCTTATGTTTAACTTCTATAGAAACTAACTTCAATGACAGAGAAGTAAAGGACACTCTTCGTACCTTAATATTATAAAAAATTGTGCATGTATTTAGGAAAATAATGGAACTAGTGCAATTTTTTTGCTCTTGACCTCATCACCTTAGATGAATAAGTGTGCAAGAAATGACATATTCTTATAAAAATTCATGATTACCGCAGCTATAAACCAATCTGACGATCACTAAATTATGACTACGATATTACAGAATAATAAGAACAAGTATTCAAAAATAATAGACACCAACTTTACTTCAATTTCAGAATTGAAAAAAAATATTTTGTAATATTTTTCTATAAAGACACAATAAAATAGGTTTTCTTCATACAGCAATATCTATATGTTTATTTCAGGCACACCCCAAATACGACTACTCTTACTCTGTATCTGACCCTCACACTGGTGACCACAAGACCCAGCATGAGGTCCGTGATGGTGATGTAGTAAAGGGAGAGTACTCCTTACTTCAACCAGACGGCACCTTCCGTAAGGTCACTTATACCGCCGATGACCACAATGGGTATGTATTCTTAAGAAAATAATCATAATTATTTTACATTGTTATATTTTCTGTAACTGTCCCTCTCCGTTTATATTTAACATTTTATCTGAGCTTTGTAGTGGTAAACTTAACTGTATAGAAAATAATCATAATTATTTTACATTGTTAGTTAAAAATAATATTTTCAAATTAATTCAAATCCCTGACGATGTTAGGTATCTATCTATGAAATAACTTTTATCCATTGCATTGCTATTTTGTAAATAGTACAAATTAGAAAAAAATAACCTAAAATACAAATTATAGATGGAAGGAAAATATTCAATAAGTTCTCAGTCACAAAAAAAAATTAATAATCTCAGGCCAATTCACACAGCGGCATCTAGACCCACGTTAAGCTAGCTAAAGCTTGTGTTATGGGTACTAGATAACTGATACAAATACATAGATTTTTTTTTTCATAAATACATACATATTATGCATAGAAAATACCCAAACCGATACAAACAATCATACTCCTGAATACAAATGTTTGTGCCGTGCGAGGAATCGAACCCGCGACCATCGAACGTAAAGCGGTATGCTAGACCGTTAGATCACCGAGGTCGTCAAAAATATTTAATTAATTATCTTTAAGTATATATAAAATAACGTCAACTGATATCTTTGTGTTGTATTACGAATAAAAAATATATAAATTAGAGAACGGCAGAACAGAAAACGTTGATAAACATTTTCAATATTCAAAATGATGATGATGACATTAACTTGACGCGTGTTACGTTACTCGTTAAATATAACCAAAACCTGATTGAAAATGTCATTCATCAACATGTTATCTCATCACACGTTTCCTTCTTTTGAAGGCCAAATTGTTAGCATCTTATTTGAATAATTATATTAATTAATTATGTTTCTTGGTTGCAGCTTCAACGCGGTAGTTGAGAACAGCGGGCCATCCCAACACCAATACTAGTTATTATCAATAATGGTGGCGGCACGCCCGCCATACACCCATGTGATATTAAACCTTTAATACTTATGTAGATAGTCTTTGGTCAATTACGACTTTTATGTTTTAAGACTGCGGCGAAAATATACTGTTTGAAAAAAGTTGTATTTTTATTGCACTGATTTACATTTAGTATTTAAGTATAGCGCAATCTAATAGCCCGTCTGGTAGTAAGTCATAAGCTGCAATTACCTGTGACCACAAATAAGTTAATATTACATACCTGGCCATAGAGGTACTAACACCTTTGCATAGCTACCTATATACCCAGCCCTTTTCATCTTCTGCTTAATAATTATATAATTCCCTAGAAATGTCTTAGAATCATTTCTACATGTATCTGTTCCCAATGTGTACAATGTTTGTGAGGAGTAACAAATAAAATATTATATTATATTATATTATATTATATTATATTATATTATATTATATTATATTATATTATATTATATTATATTATATTATATTATATTATATTATATTATATATATTTCTAGAGAACATATATGTATTATGGTTCTGACGATACAAAATCGATTTTCAAGCAGGATGGGTAACACCTGTACCTGATTGTTACCTGTACAGACACAAATGAATAAAATTAAAATATATTGTTTTAACCTAAACTTTTTAATATCGAAATCTCAATTCGTCATCGTAATGTTTAAATGTTCAGTAAGGAAAATATAATACGTAAATGAAATAAATATTTTCTTAATCTATTTTTTAAGACATTAGTCTAGTTTCTTGTCTAGTCAATACCAGAATAAGACCTATGTCTTATTCTAATATTACTTAGAGTTTTGGAATAATAGATTTTTTTTTCCACATACCCATGTAATGCAGATCTATTAATTGTAGCAAACGTAATTAGTTTATTAGGTTTTTTTTTATTATACCTATTACTACGTTAATACAATCAGTAGTTAAATATATACACACTCATGAGGATGAATGACCATGTTAAATTTTAGTAAGGTCCTTACAATTTTCAACTCTGTCCCATAACATTTCTTTTGTAAGGAGCAAATAGTTCAAAGGTCAGCAACCCTAGTAACCTATAACATGTTTGTTTTCCATACAATTGTTCATAGAATATACATATTATTTTTATAAATATATGAAAAATATTTAGAGCACGCGACAGAGATATGTACATGTAAATTAGGTCTCGTAGATACCTTCTCTTAAATGACTAAACAGAACGTTTCAATTTCGTAATTTTAATATGTTTGTTAGTAGCCGTCTAATGTCGGTCACATATAATACAGCATGTATAATACATCTTTTCTAAAAATACATACAGATATTTGATTTATTTACTTGTGTCTGGCGACTAATAGCCCATATTATAAATACCTTATAGACTACATATTAATATACTAATATAAAATTGTTTCTGTGGTCACCGCATTGACGACGGCAATCTGTCACGCTAGCGCCGATACCCTACCCCATTCGGCCAGTAGTCCTCCTTCATGAAGGTGCGCATGTATTATTTAAGTTTTAGTCAAATATTATTTTTTGATGTTAGCACAATGAACTATTAATATAACACAAAAATATTGTGTTGAGTTATAAACACTTAACGCTGCAAGAGTTCTCTTCCAGCATACAAGCATGGATGAGTTACAATCCATTCCACACACAGAATATCTTAATGATGGTTTTACAATTATAATTTAATACAATAAACTGTGGTTTGCTCGATAAGTACTTGTCTAATATAATAAAATATAAAAATTCAGCATATTTATCTTATAATGCCAATACATTGGTTTAGTAGTCGTACTTACTTGGTGCCCAAAGTTTAATTTTACACTCTCGGATGCCAGTACGTAGTTATGTATCCAATGGCACATTTTTGAATAAGTATACGTTGGTACTTCATGAAAGAATGTATAAAATATTTTTAGTCTAACAGTTCGTGCATCCTTATCACACTCTTGGATATTTTTTTTCGATGAAAATGCAATAGAGCTCCCGATTGGATGAGACGCTCTCCGAGATCCAATGGATAATGACAAAATGTTAATCGTAGCCTCATAAACGGAGTATGAAGGGCTACTATCATAGTCCATCATAGAAATAACAGAAATAAACCACGATGGTTTTCAGGAAAAACCGAGTGTAGGTCCACGTGATTAAGTCCATTGCTATCTAGTACATATTACTAAAAATCTTAGATTCACTCTTGTTCAGTTATTTAACGTATTTGTTACTAATTATTATTTAATAAAGACATTGTTATTTAATTTGGGATTTGGAGAAAACATGATTATAACATAAATACATATTATTATGCCTATATCTTTTTGTAAAATAATGATGAATGACAAAAATATTGATGATAACCTAAAATCATAAACAATTAAAATTAATAATATATAGTAGCTAGATATTATTTCTCACCTTGATAAAATTCTACTTTCTGATTTATATGTACAAACTGAATTACGAATGAACTTACTTTCATAATTTTATAATTCAATAGTGGTTAATAATTAAAATTATTTATTTTATATTTACTGATATGAATTTTTATAAAATAAAATATAATGTCACATTTTTAAATGTGTAATGAGAGACATCATGTGTCAGTAGTATTCCAACTTAGGTATGGTCCAAAATTAAGTTAGCTCAAGCATTTTTTCTAACCCAATTTCACTTGAATAGACTTGATCACTTCCACAAAATAAACAATGTTTTAAGTATGCTGCAGCAAAAATTTGGAACGACTTGGCCCCGCCAGTTCGTTCATCACTGATTTTTTGCTAACCAATATTTAGGCGCAAATGTAGCAAATGGTTGCTGCAAGAACAATTCCTCGTTTCGTAGTATTGTAATTTACTAAGTTGTGTCGATATATGTGTGTACACGCAAGTCTGCGTCTGTTAGTATATATGATAAAATAACCCTGAATAATTCTTAGATTTTATTTAACGTTGTAACTAATCCTGAATAATATTTAGATTATATATATTTAAGTTTGTTATTGTCAATTTTTATTTTTACTTTGTTAGTTGTAGTTTAAAACTTAATATGCTATCGTCGTCGTCGATCTCACATTGTATTTTACTGATAAAGGCTATAACAGAATACCAGAGAGGGTGGACTCACTGCCCTCACTGAGTTATAGACCGTTTTGTCTCATTAATTAGTTTTTAAATTATATTATTCTATGGGCAATAGTTGTATTGTGTAAAAAGTTTCAGTTTGAGACAAATAAAGATTATTATTATTATTATATTATTAACATCAGCAATAAGTACTTCTTATCCTGAAGAATTCTAAGAGCAAAGATTTTTCAAATAGGTTTTTGCTTTAAGTCAAACTTAGGCGAATGTATAACTATCAGAAGATAACTATCTTCTGTGTAATCTGAACATAGCCACAACAAATATGATATATTAAAGTATAATTTCAATAGTAACAATCTATTTTATTAACATGTGGTATTATTAATATTTACATAGTATGGAATAAAGTCCCTACCGCTGCGGTGTATGTACGTTTAATTATTTTATATTACACAACGGATTTCTAATCAGTTTCAGCAATTGACTGTGTGACAGGGGAAGATTTATGTCTATATTATAATAAAATAGAAAAGATATTCAAATATTTGTAATGGATCTTTGAAGCTGGAGCCATTTAGTATTTGATTATATTTGTCGCTTAGAATGAGATAGTTGCTTATAAACAAAATAACTTTTCGTATATATATAAAAATAAATACCATTAATATACTTAATAGTACAAATTTAATAAAAAAATTTATAACCTGTAAGGAATTATAATTTGAATAAAGGAATAGACAACTGTTCCCCATTATTACATAATGTACACACACCAGCGTACATGAAACAAAACTAGATGTCACGCTAGATTACTCACTTTTTGTAATCCACGTGTTTTGAATACTGGATAGAGAAAACACGGAGCCTGTGTTAAATCTTCATTACCATTTTAATTGTTAACCACTATTCATCTAGTCAACGACATTGATGGTTTGTTTCGGTATTACCGAACAGCATATTTTAGGACAAACAAAGCTCCTTTTATAAGAGAGGAGCATTCAGAAAATATCAGTAGTCTTCCATCGAACACCAGGAAAGATGATTCTTAAAGTAAGTCGTTTCCTCATTCTTATTATGAAAACACAATACTATTATTGTAAATGTATTATTATATTTGTTTCAGAAAACTTTATTATCGATAATTTTGAAGACGAGTTGTCTGCAAATAGTTTATGGAGCTGCATATTCCAAAGTCTATGTTACTAGAGGTGCACAAGAAGTTCCTGTGGAATATTTAAATTATGGTGCACCTCCAATTATTACAAATCCACAATTAGCTCAAATATCAGCTGCACCTATTGGATCTGTTCTACCCTTACAAAACGTTGTCTCTGCGTGCGTGGCACCATGTATTCCCAGTCAACCTATAAATACTCTAGCAACTGTACCTACTAGTTCTAAAATCATAGCATATAATTCTCCAAATAAACCTGCCGTTGTTGGTCCAGTACCTGATGTAAGTACTAAAAATATTTGAATAAACATATTAATTACCTATATATGTGCGAATTTGTGAAGATTACTTCACAAATTCACCATATTATATATTTTCGATATATCTATAATACTAATTATAGATATATTATTTATAGTGATAATACGGTATATTTGTAATGCATTAAATAAGTACATTTGGATAAAATATTATTATTCTATTTCCTTCAGGAGAAAACAAGCTATGAGTATTCATACGTAGTATATGATGAGAACACAGGAGACCAAAAAGCACAGCGAGAATTAAGCGATGGTTCCGTCGTAGAAGGAGAATATTCATTTATACAACCAGACGGTTACGTGCGAGAGGTGAAATACAGAGCTGATGACTTAACAGGGTAAAATTATGATATTAATATTGAAATATGTTAAATAAATCAACTATAGCACTCATACTATTGTAAAATTTCGTGTTCTTTTGAAATCCTAATGAATTTTCTTTTTAATAGATTCAATGCCGTGGTCAAAAACTTCTTACCACAGTCTGTACCTAATACGGATGGTAAGAAACCAGAAGCAAAAACTAAGAGTGTACCAAATCCAGCATGTCAAGAAACACAAAAAGAAGCGTTGAAAGTAGACCAAGAATTAATTACTCCTACTGAGACGCCTACACCATCCACACCTGAATTAATTCCAACTTCAATAAGGGAAACTGCTGAAGCCGTAACTGAAATACCATTGGAGCCTACAGCAATCGTGGTTGTCGACCCTACTACTCCAGAAACGATTATAGCTAAAACTGCTATTGAACTCGTCTCATCGCCACCGAAATCACTACCTGTATTTATTGAAATTCCTACTACCGATAAAACTATCGAACCACAAAATTATGCTGTAGTCGAGCTAGTCAACGACTCTACTACTAATGGTGACCCTGCTGTAACTGAACATGACATTATTAACTGTACTGATGTGACACATACGCATGAAGCTATAAAAACTATAGAAGTGGTCTCCAAACCTGAAGTACCGTTAACAAACGTTCCTGTGGCTTATAATGATATTATTCGATGTGTACAAGCAGCTATAGCTAACGCCGGATCTAATGTAAAACCTTATATTTCCCCATTAACGTACATAATTTTACCTGGAGCCAATAAACCATGTTAGTACATACATTAATTGTAACTAACTTGTTGTGGATTTGTGCTAATAACATTCTAGTCTTATTTTTGAAATGATATCAAGCATGTTTTAAATTGGATTGTCATGTGTATATATATAATAATACAATGGTATGATACTGAATAAAATTAGTAAAAGAAAATATGATACCTCTTTTATTTATGTTAAGGTAAAAAAATATTCAATATATATACAATATTTATTCATGTTAATTTCAGAAACTCAACCTATGTTACAAATTTAAATAATAACTTTAACACTTACAAGAGCTGTAAAATATGACAATACATAATATGAAATTAGATATATAGATATAATATAGATCTAATTTCACTATCTGTGTACTGGGCATGGTCCTAACACTAACTTTAACAACGATTCCACTCGTCTTCTAAATACTATAATAATATTTGTAATAAATAATGTATTTTTTTAGAAAACATTTTGAAATGAACTACATTTGACCTTCAATAACGAAAGCAGAGAAAAAAGATAATTATAACTTTCGATGTAGACTTTCTTCAAAAAAAGTCTAGCCTAGTCCAATGTAGTTGAATAATATAATAATTTAGAGATTAATAATTCCATTATTCGTATAATTAGAATTTACATAAAATTAAGTTTTGGAAAAAAAAAACTAATCATATGTTAAGAAAATTTCTAACACCTACAAGACATACGCATTATAATGGACTCAATGATTGACAAGTTCATATTATTGCCTATTTATCGGCGCGGCCTTGATAATGTCAAAGTTACACAGTCAAGGTGCTCACGCATTTCTCCGCCCCACCGCACTGCGAATACTCGCCTCGCCCGATCGTTTACCACAGACGTGCTTTATTGAGTCGATTAACATTAGTGTATTACCGAACTATACAATTTATTAATATTGTTATGGTATTACTCCCTGTAATGCATGTAATGCTTGCTGCATAATGGAATCCACAGGATTAGCAACGGATAAGGAGTATCATCAGCTTCTCATGAATAACAACACGGAAATTACTTCCGTATTGTTCATATTAGATACTATTAGAAGGCACTTGAAAGTCTCGACAAAATTCATTCACTGTATCACTTTGACTTTTAAAGCATAGCTTTACGCTTATTTTTAAGTATACCTAACAGTGGATTCCATGTGGTGGACAACTTAAAACCTTCGAAATTTTTTATTTATTATTAAATTCTTAATTTTACCATTTTAGCGAGATATTGGGGTTCCAAATATATGTATTATAGAAATATACATATATATAGAGATTTTATAAAGATTTCTTTAATTATATTATGGTAAATATCTCATTTATATAATATATGTACAATTGAACTACCACTTCTAAGAACTTACCTTTGACATAAAGAATACTTACATTCTACACATATTCAACCACAAATCCCATGTTGCAGTAGCCCGATACCCAATAAAGTATACCGTATAAAATAAAAATATTGGTATGGCTTTTCGTGTGAAAAATTAAACATTATGGATAAAGAAATTGTTTTAAGGGGTACCCTTTTATTTATAAGGGAGCGCATATACAGTACCTGTGTATAAAATAAATATTAAAACATTATAAAAGTGGATACATAATAAATCCTTACACAAGCGTACTAATAAGGCCTCTGTTCAGTCGTTGAAATAAAGAAGATCTGAGACAAACCACCATCTCTAATCAATTTATTTTGGTAGCCATTAAAGACCATCTTATTAAGAAAATACGTCTGCAAGAATATAGTATAATTACGTCTTGTATTTGTCGACATCATAGCTTATTTACCCTTTTGTCTTAAAATTATTTTTATGTACACACGTATGTATGGTTTAACTTTAGTATTAACTTTGAAAAAAATTTTTAACAATATCTGTACTACGACGTTGAAAAAGAATAATAATTTTAACAAGATTATGCGCAGTTAATATTGGTAAATTCAACATATTTACCGAGATACACAGTCTTTGTATTTCAATTATTTTAGCCGCTGAGCAGATTTTCGGTGTAAAATAAAGCATTAGAATTACAGAATAAAAAGCATGACATCTCAGTCCTTTGGAATAACGACGCATGAGTGACACCACCGAACGTCACATGTTAACTTAATATCTGTAGTGCTGTTTAATACTGTTCATGTATATTATGGGACGGTTACCACTTGCCATTAGGTGGACTATTAGCTTGTTTTGCCATTCCAGTTACACAAAAAAATAAATATTTATATTTTACATCACTATTACGTCCCTCATGTTAACGTTTCAGTAACTCAGCACGTAAGTCTAAGGGTACTTGCTATGGTAAAAAGCAATAGTGATCGATACCGTGACATATATTGTCTATTTATAATGATTTAATTTGACCTTTATTTGTATTGTCACTGTGGCGAGGGCGCATACTGCGGTCAGCCCCACTTGCTCTTTTTCAATGTTTTAAGATATAAAAACCTACGATTGACAATAATTGACATCAATCACCAACCAAGCATTGACTAAACTACATGAAAATGTTCAGCAAAGTGAGTGTTCTATAAGTGTTACTTAGTAATAGTTTTTAATCATTTTAATATCATAATATGGTAATCGTATCCCAAGTCTTTAGTGTACATCAAATAAAATCAAATATTTTTTATGCAGTACTATGGCCATATTTACATTGACAAATTACAATTTGAATACAGTCAGTACTCGAAAATGATGAAAAAAAAATTCCAAGCAAATAATAACATAATATAAAAAACATAATTAATTTTCTAATTTTCTATACACAATTTTTATTTATGATCAGACACTGTGCATTTTCCTAAAATACTCGTATCTGTAGTTTAGCATAATTTAATACTGACAAAAGTAATGATAAGAAGTTATTAAAATTAGGCTCTGTAAAAAAAAAGATTACTGTATGATTTCTTGATTTTACTGCAGCATTGATCATTATTATTTTGTTAATACTTTATTCATTTTCAATACAGCTTATAACCTTCGGTAGTCTGCTAGTAGCTGCAAGTGCTAGTCCATACGGCCATGCTGTCTCCTCTCAGAGCATCGTTCGGCACGACGGGGGCTACGCCCCTGTAGCACACATCGAAGCCCCAGCACTCTACGCTGTTCCCTTAATACACGCAGCACCTCTAGCTCATTATGATGCCCCTATTTCCTATGATGGACACAATGGACATTACAATGGATACGACGAACATTATGATGGCTCAGATGAATATGTAAGTTTATGTATAAGCAGTTGTCATATATGTTTAATAATGTGCAGAGGTTATTCATCTTTTATAAACACTGAAATCTTCTAGAGTAGCTTTTTCTCTTACATTGTCTTTGAAATTAAATGAATAACTCGTAAGAAAACAATATACCAGTGCAATTGGTAAATTTATCTTTAGACATATTTTATGAATAAGGATTAAACAAACATTACTACTTGACAAACATAGATATTGTTAGTCATAACAATGTTTAATGGCCGGCATACAAAATCCTGTTTCTAATCGGATTATATCGTTATTTGTTTCATACTCCTTCCGTTATTTTAGTAACTATAATCCTGCGTGTTAGATATAGACGCATTATATTTATATAAATTACAGCTTATCATATTTTTATTTTATTTGTCAAGGGCCACGATCACCCTAAATACGACTTTGAATATTCGGTATCGGACCCACACACCGGTGACCACAAGTCGCAGCACGAGAGCCGCGACGGGGACGTTGTGCATGGCTACTACTCGTTGGTGCAACCAGACGGCTCTGTGCGCAAGGTCGAGTACACCGCCGACGACCATAACGGGTAGGAAAATTATATTTTACCTAATACGTTCGTACAGGCTTTCTCAATCCATAGTTTAAATAATTATGAACGTCAGTATCATGTGAATATTGAAAATAAAAAAAAAATATTTAATACTGAATCGGAACGTATGTTGATTCTTCCGAGCTAAACTCACAATTACAGTTATGCTTTTTGACTAGTTGATATGTCTGTAAATCTAACTCGTTTCGAATAAGTTTATAAATACAGATTGGTAGATGCTGAATAATCTTTACACTAGCAATTATCCTATATATTCTCATTACAGAAAATATAAGCTGGGTCTTCTCATAAGAAGTTTTAACCAATTACTTGGCATACTTATTTGGACGTATAGGATATTTGGACAGCTTTATTCCGAATTTCTCGTCTCTCACACAATGTGTTAATGCTATATTCTACTATTCATTTATAGTTATTTTATTACAATAATACATTGATTTGCCTGATGTTATATATTCATATATTAATATGTTACAGATTCAACGCAATTGTTCATAACTCGGCGCCGTCCATCCATCCAGAACCTGCCTATGACCACCATGACTATTAAAAATGCCAAATATTAGTATATAGTTTAAAACTGTTTATTTATCATCATCATCATCAACATGTTTTATTCATAACTTTCTCAATAAATTGTTTTATTCATAACAAGCTTTTTATTTCGGAAGTGTATCAATATAAGTGATCCAATATATACCTAACGTATGATATCTATTAAAGTATTTATTCTACAATCTGTTCCGTCTTCACTTAGGTGCTGATAGTTTAATAAAATACAATAGCTGACTAATAAAAAAAAAACTAATTATATATTTTTTTATTTAAGTATTTCAGTATACAAATACATACATAATATATATAGACAACACCCAGACCAATACAAACACTCATACTTATGAATAAAGACGTTTCTATCGTGCGAGGAATAAAATCCGCGATCATAGGAACTAAAGCGTGTGCTAAACGTCCGAGATTATGGTTTTACTACTTTACTTATGATTAAATAATACTGTAGTAATTACCACAAAATATATTATAATTTTATACTTAAATTTTACACTTAATAATTTATTATTAAGTGTAATATACTTAAGGTACTACAATACATCATATTCCACAAATTAAATGTGGCCTAAATATATTCATAAGTCCTGTCATTTGCAAAAAAAAATGTTATGTGATATATTTGGACATTATATATAATGGAAAACTAAAACTGAAACTCATAATCTAAACCAAAAATAACAGAGAATTATCATTAATTGTCTGGATAATAGTTAAATTAATACTGTATTAATATTCTTTATATTAAATATATTTCATTGTTTATAACCTAATGCTATATTAAACTTTATTTAGTCATTATATTCAATAAATCACTCGATAAATAAATAATATATAATATAAATAAATAACCCTCAACGTTTATCATACATCATACATACCACCTCGATTCGAGCTAAGATAGAAATACTAAAAAACTTAAAAAATACATGTCTTACAATACATGTTTATATAATGCTAAGACCATATTTGTAAATATTGGAAGCCACATAGGGCACACAGAGAAAATAAATTATCTATTCCTAATCAAGACAATAAAATTCGAGTTAGATCAAGTGGAGTTTGTCTTAAGTGAAACTACCTTTTACCCACTAACCAACTGCGAATTTGAAAAAGTTTTGATATTTATTAATTATGGATTTGAAATCCTTACGGAGGATCAATCGAATAGTGCCTTACTAATTGAATATATCCATAAAATACCTGACGTAATTGGCATATCAGGCCTTAAATGTGATGTGAGATGAGAAAAGGTTAGACGTCTATCACTTTGTCTATGAAATAGCAAGTCGCGCCATGATCATAACAGTGTACTTATTTACATCCACATCTGTGTTCACATTTATATTTAAGCAATAGTTATCACATTCTATCAAAAAGGTGGATGTATCAAAATGTTAAATAAATAAACATTTTTTCAACATATATATCCTGATTTTATACTTAATCCTGTAATAAGAGATATTTCGGTAACAATTTTATTTAACTTCTTCGAATACTTATGGATTTAATGAAAAGTATCTTATATTTGGAATAATATTAATTAATTTACGCAATATCTGAATTTGTTCTATTATTAACTTAACTAGTAAGCCTTGAAAATTATTAGAAACAACAGACCAAAATGTCTTTCTAATATGAATTTTAAGTAAATATACAATGACCTATAACAAAAACCATTAAAATCATAATATTTTTCAAATAACATAGCTTAAGCTACTACAAGTTATGCCTACTCATTTTTATTATGTTTATAAGTTATTATCTTTGTCGAAAAATATTATGACCTGCCTCAACACTTACATAAGTATCTTTTGTTCTAGTTTAGGTATTCATCACAGATATGGATCAGTTATTTCCTGGTAAAATGAAAAATGTGTATATCTATAATATTAGAATAAACTAATAATTTTATTCTTAAAAATGATAATTGTCCTCTCAAAGGTCACAAACAAACAAAAAATACCTTTAACTTGGTGCTAGAGGTTTTCTTATACACAAACAAAATGTTTCTTTAAAACAAAGATATGTGCTAGTGTAATTACTTTATTTTCATGTTACGAATATCTCAGAATTTCTGATTATTCTTATCTTCTTTTACAGATTATAAATTAAATAACTTTAATTTCTACGATATGTTTCTTTAAAATAACATTAATTTGTAGTTACTGCTATAGTTTGACAATAACAATAAATTTTCACACCGATAAGTTGTCGGGTTTTTGTAAATTCAACTTCCCGTGCAAGTATTTTTAATTAATATACTGATAAAATTAATAATTTACACGTAATTATAGATATATTACACGTAATATTATTTGACAATTATTAAATTTGCACTGCGAATTGTATTATAAATAATTTTAAATGTATAGTTCCGTCAAAGATACAAAAAAATATAATAATGAATAAACCTCTTCTTAGCAAGTATGCATATTCATAAACCTTAACTCTAATGATAATATGAATATCACTGATCAATACAAACTAATATGCATACTAACGAATATAAAGATTTGTATTTTATGGATTATTAAAATTGAAAAAAAATGTCGCTACACAGTGAAGTTAATCCAAGTTAAATGTACAAAAAAAGTTGCTTAATTAACAAAAATAATAAACCAATTTTAATATATTACTTGAAATCTAAAACAAGATTTTGTTAATATGTATTAAGAGTTTGTTTTTTTCATATATTATATTATACATAAAGTTGACTAAGTCCTAATTTATTCTGTCGAACTCTTAATGAGTCACTGCTTTACACTTGTAGAACAGCCTTGCTTCAAGAGACATATTGTAGAAACAGCTACTTATTTCATATTTAAAACTGAACAATAAATTGGATAACTTTTCAAGTTTCAATATCATCGTAACCTTAAAATATATGTACAATTATAAAAATATTTATATATATAATATAATATTTATATAAATACAGTAACAGAATCAAAATCACAACATAACAATAGATTTTATTTATCCATTTTTTTCATGCCTGATTACTACTTTACATCAGTAATGCTTAATTTCAATATGCTGTATGAAGAAGTAGGTATATAAAATCAATTATTAAATTTACATTTTCAATTTCATTGCACACTACACTATATAGTTGTATAATTTTCCACTAAGTTGATAAACAAATATTTTTCCTGTTAATACCTCTAGACCTCTACTCCGATCTGTCTGTTTATTTGGTAAGTAAAAACATTGCAAAACTCACAAACTTCCCGCTTAACGTTTAATCAACAATCTATCACCCACGCAGGTACTCGCCGCGAAAGTCAACGTACAAATAACAATAATCTTATCATAGACCACATTGACCTACTATATCATATAATACAGTTCACAGAGTATATTTGTTAAGTAACAATCATTTACTTGGTCGTATGTAATGCGAGAACGTGAAGACAAAGCAGGCCGACCTTGTGCACGTGGGACGACTGAGGAGCGCTCGCGCGCCCCACCGGACCCACAACACCATTTCTTATAAAACCCACTGGTAACTATGAAATGTATGTCAGTCACGCACAACTATCTCACACAAAAAATGTTCACTAAAGTAAGTTTAGCGTAGTGTAACGTGAAGTGATAATTAATTGGACGTTAATTATGATTAAAAATATTTTAATTTGTGCAGATCTTAGCCCTTGGTGCCTTGGCGGCAGTGGCGCAGGCTGGCTTGTTGGGACATGGCCACGCTTACTCTGTATCGTCACAACACAATGTAGTGCAACACGATACGCACTACGCAGCCCCCGCAGTGCACGCCGCCCCTATTGTTCAGTATGCCCCTATTGAGCACTCCGCCCCAATATATGCCGCTGCTCCCATTGCCCATGCTGAATACTCCGGACATGGACATGAAGACTACTATGTAATTTATTTCTATATTCCTACTTTCTTTAACTTTTTCCTTCTGTATATTACAACTTTTTCCAGTAATAGCATATAGTAAAAAAAATACACAACCAAAAATATTTAAGTTAAATAACAATTATTATCTTTTAATGTCAGCGTTCATTGTGTACAACATAATAGTAAATTGAATGTCACTCTCATAGCTCACACATTTGTGTTTTTGTAATAATAATATTTCCGCAGCCAAGTATAAATTCAAGATAATTTTTAATTGTGTTATATGTTACAGTCTCACCCCAAATACCAGTACTCGTACTCCGTGGAGGACCCTCACACCGGAGATCACAAGTCGCAGCACGAGAGCCGCGACGGTGATGTCGTGAAGGGTGAATACTCGCTGCTCCAACCTGATGGCACTTTCCGCAAGGTGTCCTACTCCGCCGATGACCACAATGGGTAAATATTCAATAAATCTCTTATCTCGGCTCATATAACGCAAATCTATTAGACGTTTAGTAAACATAATTACATAAATTAGAGAATCTTTTACACTAACACGATGACAAAGCTGATGAGACTGCAACTTTCCCCAAATTGCGCAAAACACGTGTTGCCACTCGTGTTTGCTTGACCAAACTTTGTTTATACGTAACCATCGTAACTTTTTGCCAATGTTTACATGCAGTCATATGGTGGTTAGACCGGTATAGGTAACTCGTATGAGCAATGACCTCTCTCGACCCTTGTCTGTCAACTGGCGCTACATTCTCAGACTCGTTTTCAAACTAGTTTTTACCTCATAAGCAATTATAGTACTCTACTTACTTATTTATTGTAAACTTAACATCACCAATGCCATCATCTTTGAGTAGTGGATCCAGTATCAAAATAAGCGCTTCAGTGACACTGCAAAAAATGAGTGGAAAACATTTTTGATTGTGCTCTGGTATAACATATATTTTTTTAGTTCTGTACATTGCATTGTGCTGTCTTCTAAAAGCTAACTTATTATTGTTACAGATTCAACGCCGTTGTACATAACTCCGGACCTAGCCATCACGTTTACTCTTCTCAACACCATCATTATTAGATTTGGAAAGGATTAAGATACATATATTCCTTGACTATTTATTCTTACTGTGATTTACCCTGTACATAATAAATTCATATTTTTATAATGATAGTCATTAAAAAAGTACAAATACTCTAATATGAGCTTTTAATTTCCAATACCTACTTTAATCTGACTTTTTGACAGTTATTTTTACTACTACTATTATACTTAAAAATAAAAATTTGACAGTTAAACAAAAGAAAATTGATATAAATAATTTTAAATTATAAAAACTTAAATAACTAACTAACGCCTTATTAAAAAAATCAATGTCCACAAAATTATTCAATTTATTTGCTTTATTATTTGGTAAATAAGGTGAACTTAGAGCCTTAGCATTCTCCACCAGTCCACCCACTGTGCACTTCCCAAAGCTCAGATATACTCGTACTCGAACTTATTGTAGTTTCTGAAATGTGCCATCCTTTTCTTCCAAATCATTTTCTTGCCTTGAAAGAGTGTGACAAAACACTCTGTTAAAATTTGCTTATAAGGATTTGTTTTGTGTAAAGAGGATAGTATTAAGTTTGTATTAAATCTAATTAATATCTCACGTCAATCGTGGGAAAAATAAGTGTATGTACAAAATTTAAATATTTGTTACTATTTTAATAATTAGCTATTTGCAACAAATTAATAACTCAATTATTTACTGCTAAAACTAGACCGTAGGCGTACTATTTCATTACGAAAGTGCGTTTTAATTATTTAAAATATGCATTAGTATGTCGAAAACATTTCAAATGTTAAACATTTATCGTTTAACTACAGGTCAGCAACAGAAGTTGTTGACTTTAATGCTCTATATTTAAGTATTTTAATCGCGCGATATTACTCGTATTAATCAGCTACTTTTAACTCTGTCTGTACTTATTGAAAGGGATACTAAAGCAAAAAGTAGAACTGTTAAATGAAATTACATTAACTATCAGTTTATAGAGTAATTTCTACCAAATATCAAGTTACTTTTATTAACACAATTTACAATAATTACTTTTATTAACATCGAATTCTTAGCTTAATTTTTCTATGTTTCAAACTTTGTAACAATTATTCTTTCTATTAATATTTTTAATGTTCTATCTATACACTTATATATCACTACACTATACATAATGTTTGATTTAGGATTACTAATTTTTATTTATTTTAATTTGTTTTCCAGGACATTGTAATAGAATCTACTGATGACTACTAATGTCTTATTTCTATTCTGAATGCTTAAATAGGTGTCAGATATTTCTTATAATGTATGTAAGTATGCTGTATTTTTAAGGAAAAGCTATAATATAAATTGTATCGAATTTGCTAATGGGAAAAGCATATGATAGTTGTTATACGTACATATATAATAAGAAATATCGTAAGCGCTAACGAGTATCCACGTTGCAGTGCCTAAAAGATGTATGTTATGTGTATGAATTATTTCATTGTATACCATAATTGTGTAAAGCAACATGAATATATAAATAAATGTATAAAGTTATGTTAATTTTGTTTTCAATAGAGTTTGTTTAAAAGAGCTCCAACATTTTATCGGACTTCAAAAAACAATGTATTTTAAATGTGTGGGTGTGTATCCAATATAACTAACAGATTATAATAAGGGATGTAAAGTTGGTGGTGTTGTATAATTATCAAACATTAATAACACAGTAAGAATGTTTTATATTTTTAATATAACAAACGATAGTATATATAACATACAAATGTTAGTAAGATCTTGCTAAGTATATTTAGAATCTTACTCAACCGGCAGCCGTGCATAATATCGGGCAGAGAATGTAATGTTGTATAATTTCCCAGTTCCCGTAACTTACATACTAACGCCCTTGTCGATAAAATTACTGGTTTCACCCACTATAAAGACCCGATGTCATAATCGGCAAGTTCTAACAACCACCATTGAGTACCTACATTTTATTTATTTTGACCTAATTAAGACGAATCAAACTAGATAAGAAAAATTGGGACGTACAAGAATGTATTGTAAAGTTTGGGACGCTTGAATGACCTAAATTTTGACACTGGACGAAGGAAATTTTTAGTATCATGGACTGATGACCTTATTGCTAGGAATTTACAATGTCAGGTTGACCTCCACGCAGTTTCCCTTCAAACCATCGTGATAAATTCCTGGAGACCTGATAAAAAATGGTAAATGCTTGTAATGTAAAAACTTTACCAGTGAAAATTAACAACATATATGTGACAATTCTAAAAAAAATACATTACAAATATTAATATATAAAATCATTTTCAAAGATTTTGCAACAGTGACTATTCTTATAACATTAATTGTTATTTGAGTTCCAAAAATTAAAATATGTCTACATATGCACAAATATTATTATTTCTAAATTTTATACATATACTAGTCTAGGTAACTAAGAACAATAACATCTATTGTGGTTGTAGTATCATAATTAAAAAATATATATTATTAACATCACTAACAATTTCCTTTCAAACCTGTAATTATACTGCAATGTATTGACTTATCCGCCTTTAATTTTGTAACTAGAAAATTATAAATTCTTGGATATACTAAATATTGCTGCAATACATTGGTCTACTACGTACGATAGATTATTTCTACAGGTAACATAATTATAAATATGTTCCTAGTAGATAACAACTGCTGTAATATTACTGTGCTCAAATGAAATTATGCTAATACTTCAATATTAATCGTTTACAATAACACAACAATATAAATTCAAATTTAAGTTATGAACCCACACGCAATTTTAACTAACAATTATAATAAGCCAGGACACTGCACTATTTAATCCCAAACTAAGTAGAGCTTCGCTATTGCATACTAAGCTCACGGTATATATATAATTGTCTTATTTTATGTCTAAATATATATAGACAACCCCCAGACAATAACAACAAATAAAGATTCATACCCTTGTTTCTAGATACATTCTAGATTCGAACCCGCAACCATCGAAAGTAAGTCGACGTGCTAAACCGCCACCGACGTCATTACATCCGCATAACAATATTCTCATAGATCTACTGTCACCAAATCTTTATAAAACAGATTCTTGCTCTTATGAAATAAAATGTCCATTATGGACGTTAAATTATTTGCTAGAAATACATGTTTGGAAGTCATTCGAATTTCATATTATTCAATTATATTTTTATTACAACAATTTAGTACCTATGTATATTATTAATCCTGAATTTTGTAATTCATATATATAACTCAATAAATTAAATAAACGTGAGATATTGGAACAAAGACTACAAATTTTGAAATCATACGTATTACATAATCATTTTTCTCTTTATAAATCACTAACATTAAGATAAAATACTTATGATATGTCCAACCTAATGCTATTTTGTTTACGTACTCGTAAGAAAATATAATTATTTAAATATGTTAATGTATGTGTGCATGTACTTGAAACAAAAACTACCTACTGCTCTACATATTTATGTAAAAAGTCTGACCTCCTTCATATCACACGAGATTTAATTACAAGATATAGTTCATTCCAAATATTATTATTTAAAACGTAGGTGCTGTCAACAATAGCCTTTGATTAATACTAATAGTTATATACCGAGTCACGGTCACATTGGGTGAGTGACCTCTGAACTATTGTGTAGAATTACACTTTACAATCAATTGTGGAGATTTGTTCGCGGATAACCTTGTACTTACATAGTTTTATTTATGCTTAAAATTAAGACAATTCCTGTTCTCTGAAATTGAAGTACAACAACAATTTTAATTGTAATCACTTCACCGGTAGGCATGAAATCCCAAAACCTACTAGTAAAAACTTTCAAAAAAGTATAATAGTATAGTCGTGCCCACATAAGCCCTTTAATAAGTATGACATAATTACGACTTTCAATTTACGAAAGCTTGTTTAAAGGGTTAGATATATGAAGATATATACATATAATTATAGTACTCTAAATGTAGGGCCAACGCTTCGGGCATTTTATTTTAATTTAAAAACAATGAAATTCGTTCATGCATTAAGTTACCTACTTGATTGCAACAGTTAATTTATGATATCAACTCCTGGTGATCGCGTTACTAACTAACGTTGGGAAATTAAAACCAAGCAGGGGCGTAGGTATACTAGAAACCACTATGTGGTTTAAAATAAATTTGATATCGTTACGTTGCAATCGCACAATCTTTTTAATATTTCGGGCGCCACTTTACTTTCATTTGTCACATTTAATTTGCTAAATGCAATTGATTGCTTTTCACTCAAGATTTAAGGATTAGAGACATTTAATAAAGATATAGTTTACATAGGTTTATTCTCAGATAGATATAAGATACTTAAATATTATTACAAAAAGCAAACAATGCAATACAATACAAAAATATTTATATAAGAATTAAAATAAAATCAGTTTTTATTACCTACCTATAATTGTATGTAGGTACGTGATACCGAGAACTATTCGTTTCAATCTTATTCTTTTCTCTGATACTGTTTGCATTCAATGCCAGAATTTGTGAATGTTTTATTGGCTTATTGAATAATAATGCAGTTATTATTTATAACATACGAGAGTCATTTTTATTACAATTACTGAAGAATCGTTACCTTGTTAAGAGTTCTAATAATTTTGAAACAATTTGAATTATGGCAAACAATCTATTAGTTATTTTTGTGTTTTCTAGAGAAAATTGATTAATCTTAAAAATAGCAAATCACCGTAGGAAACGTTATTTTTTTCTTTTTTTTTAATATTTTATATAATTTATATATTTATATAACAAGACATTATATAAATATATAAATTTACAAATAAACGTACTTTTACAACAGACATTGATTGCCGAAAATTTTTACATAATTATATAGTGTAAAAATTTTCGGCAGTACTAAAAAAAACTACAAACAAAAAAAAATTAATAAGTAATCTAACTGTTTATAATAATATAGGAACAGTACAGTAAATGCCAAGTTGGAACCGTGGTCTATAAGTTTGAACGAACATAGAGTTTAAACTTATATTAAACCTATACCATATCCTATAAGTGGCATAATCTATTTACTAGTTGAAATAAAAAAACGCAGGTAGTTCCAAATAAAGGAGAATTTTTGTGGCTGTTTTCCTTAATGGTAACAATGTGTATGTCTGTTTGTTACCTTTTGACCGAATTGAAACATGAATTATGAATGAATGAAAATATGTCCAGACGAATTCGCGGGTAACAGCTTGTAGCCATATACATAGGTATATATGTAACGTACGAAGACATTAATTATTTTGGAACCAAATTACCTGTCAACAAAACACTTCATAAACAAAATAGATATCATCAACAAAACACTTCATAAACAAATAATATATATAATATTAAGAGTAATATTTACAGATTTACAAAATATTATGTCCTCTTCATCAGCTTACTGCCGTTATCCATATAATTTAATATCAGCTTGATTATTTTTAACAATAAATTTAGTAAAATTTAAAAATGCTTATTTACATTCAACGTCCAGCCGGACGTCAAACTTCTTTAGAAATGACAATGCTGTCTTCATCTTTACAAAATACCTATAATAAATCTATTAATTTCAAACATTTGTAACTACCGTTCATACGTCTAACTTTTAATTGATTTACAAATCCTAGACAACATTTTTATTTCACACCATGTACATTCCGTGGTATAACAAACAAATTGTAAATAATTATCTACACCTCTCACGATTACTGCATAAATACAAAAATGTGATCGTTTATCCATATTGCGCACGCAACATCGATCTTTGAGAATGCAATTATGATTTTGTTGGGTGGAGGGCGCGCGGACAGGAGACTGTTGGTGAACTATAATTGTCCGAGTATACGGCTCGCGCGCGACCTCGCGGTGTCAAAGTTGCGGAACTGCGGTGACCGCATACCCCACCACTGGCAGGACTAACTCCGTTTTGATTTTCATATAAAAGTCCAACTACAGTTCGATAATAGTATCAGTCACCTGCTCTGATTAACTAGTTCAAAATGTTCACCAAAGTAAGTTGAAATTAAATATGTATAATATTATAAATCCAAATAAGTATTTGGATTTATATATTTGGAGTCATTTTAAGTAAAATGACTAAGTATTTTATAAATACTTAACTTTAAATAAATATTATTTAAAATAAATAACTGGGCGTTCTAAAATATTTACAAAATCGCAATCCAGCTATTTCCTTTTTATTGTTTTGTATCAACAATATAAAGTAATATAGAAAAATTTTCCTTAACCAACTTTCTAAATGAAAATATTCCCGATTTGCAGTATTTAGTGTGATATTCCCGAAAAATCTGCATGTAGCACTAAGTATTCAGTAATGAAAAATTTATGGAGTACAGCAAAATCTTATTATTCAATTTATTATTTAGTAATTCTAAACAATATTATGTCGAATTTAAAATATAAAATTAAACCAAAAATCTAAACAATGGCCAAATATTCAACAATTAACAATAACATTAACCCTCGGTGATAATAATAAAAATAACGATAATAATACCAATAATATTTTCTAAATAGAGGCAGGATGTCATTAATTAAAAAATTCAGTTTATTAATTAATATTAATATTGGATATCCAATAAAAAGTTAACTTTAATTTTCAGGTGTTCACCCTCGGCGCCATCTTGGCTTCCGTAAACGCTGGCTTGTTGCCACTGCACCATGCTGCTGTCTCCTCACAGAGCATTGTCCGCCACGATGCCCCCGTGCATTACGCTGCCGCGCACTACGCTGCACCTCTGCTCCACGCCGCTCCCGTAGTTCATGCTGCCCCAGTAGTCCATGCCGCCCCTCTTGCTCTCGCTCATGGTCATGAATACGTAAGTACTAAACTACCAACTTCCAAGATTAGAAGGTGCACAACTCCATTGATTTTTTAGCAAAACTAAAAGTTTTTTGATATTTGTGTATTATGATTAAACGTCTTATTTAATTTTATCGGGTTACACCTTCGTAGGATTCACTGTAACTGTTATATCCATGCCACTGATAGCGATGGTTGCCACTTTACACGAGGTAGTTCAATAATTTAATAACCTTTAAAAAAAACAAATTATATAAATGCTGATGTTTAAAGTTTACTTTACCATTCCAAGTATTATTTTACTGCAATGAACGGTAAACGTATATGTAACACGATTATCATCGTGGTTTCAGGCTCACCCCAAATACGACTACGCTTACTCTGTGGCTGACCCCCATACCGGTGACCACAAGAGCCAGCATGAGAGCCGCGACGGTGGTGCTGTTCACGGTAGCTACTCCCTGGTTGAGCCCGACGGTTCAATCCGCAAAGTAGAATACACCGCTGATGACCACAATGGGTAAGATAAAACTAATAATAATACTTTCCATTATAATACAAGTTATATAGTATCCATAGTTATCCACAACGCCGGAATTATTTAGTCTTGGGTACAGATACATTACTATGCCAAAAAAATAAATTGAAATCAAACTTGTTCGACCATGAAAACGTGATACCATTAAACACTAAAAGATCATTATTAATATATTATCTTACTAAAATTCGTACAATTCTCGAGAACATATTTTATAGCAATATTTGAAAACTAGAACTAATAAATAGGTGTAATATCTACAAACATAAAAACTATATGACTTTAGAGAACATGACAATGGAATTCACGTTTTTTGCATACCATTGTTCATTTGTTCATTCACGCATTTATGGATATAATCTTTACCAATAATTAATGTAAACCAACTATATCTCGCGTTTTTAATTAGTGTCATTAACTAACAAACATTAATATATATACTGTTTACTTTCCCTGTATTAAAATACTTGTAGGGAACAAAAGTAACTTGTCAACTTTTCATTAGTGTTCTCCAATACAATAAAATTTGTATTTTTTACAGTTTCAACGCCGTAGTACACAAAACCCCCGGCCACCACCCCGCCCCCATCGTCCACGCTGCCCCCGTGGTCCACGCCGCTCCTATCGTTCATGCTGCCCCATTAGCTTATGCTCATGGACATCATGGTCTCCTCGGACATTATTAAACAACGACTAGCTTATAATATGTTCATTTGATGACGGATGACTGATGATTGTGATATTTATGTGTAAATAATGATGATGAATATGATTTTATACTCAACTGTAAATATACTCAGCTGCTGAAAGTACTGATGATTTTAATTTCTTTTAAAACTATCAATCCTTTATAATATCACTATACAAACATAAGCCAGATATAACTTAATTGTGATCTAGCGCTTACTGAACTTATTATTATTACCATTTTTCAAATACTTTAATATAATCAATAGTATAGGTATTGTTTATATTTTATTACACCACATTGCATATATATAAAAAAAACTAGCAATACTTGTCCTATTTAATAATAATAGCCTGTTTAATACATATTATATCTATGGATATATTTAAAATTAAGTCCCTGTTTCTAATTTCAAATTATCAGGTTTTCAGTAAACCGCATATACAGAAGTATATACGTAAAGTATACAGTACTAGCATAAAATAAACATTTAATATTTTTATCTGTCTTTTTGTTTATTCTTGCTAAACTCTGAAACAGCAAGACCGATTTTAACGGGACTTTCATCGTGGATAGCTAATGTTATATCATAAATAAGCAACCAGCAGACAAAACAATTATTTAAAATATTTATCATAACCTATATATACACGAAACAACGTCGCTTATCGCTTATGTACTTACTATTTTTATGGTCTTCACCCAAGGAAATTTAAGTTTGTTTGTTTATATTTTTCACAATAAATTCCCACAAGTACACAATTTAATTATGGGATAACCTTGAGGTTCAGTAGCGACGTAAAACAATTATCTGCTTAGTAGCCATGCATGGTTGCGTGGGTTACGAATACCAAGGCACTTGTGCATAGCATTCGATGTTTTGACGGTATAATTACGGTACATTGTATGGAGTATTACAAAATCTTACTACTCATATAGTAATACGACTGTGCGACGACCTAGAAAACCTCACAATTAGAGATTGCATCTCTATTACAGTAATCAGTAAATGAATTTGTAGATTTCATTTTTAGTTACATGTTCCACCACCACGGGACGGAAGGAAATGGAAGGATTATACTTTAGCAGTCTACATAATCTTAATACTACGTAACCTATGCCCTTCTAATATTTGTATATGTAAGTTACAGCTAAAAAGTAAAAAAAATACTTGCAATTTAATTTATATCTCACTTGTCGGCCTCGATGGTCTAGCGGTTTAGCGCTTTACTTCCGATTCATCTCGGGTTTGATTCCTCGTATGGTACAAACATTTGTATTCATTAGTATGACTGTTTATCTTTGTCTGGGTATTTTCTATATCGAATTATGTATTCATAAAAAATATATCCAAGTATTTGTGTTAGTTGCCTAGTACCCACAGCACAAGATCTGCTTAGCTTAAGGTAGCGCTGTGTGAATTGTCCAAGGTTGTTATTATTATTACTATTATATATAGAGATATTTTAAGTTAGAATTTAAAGTCGTGAAATTAATACCATAATAAGAAAATTATAAAAATAAATTAATTACAAAATTATTATTTTGTTATTATTGAACAAATTGATATTTATGTCAATACACAGATATTTTGTAAATTACATATAAATAAACAAATAACAGTCATTACATACATGTAAACAACGTCTATATCGCTATGAGTAAAATTGCGTCAAAAAGATACACAAATAAGTGAGGTTGTGTTTCCAAATCGAAAATGGTAGCAATCAATCACAATATCTCAATACTATACACCGACGTCACCTTAAATATCTATTATAAGTTATATCAATTAATAATAAATAATGGGCACCTGTGAGACGTAATAAATATTGAGGAATATTAAGTGAGGAAATATTTGTTTTAAAATAAAAGTGACATAAGAATATGCGAAACAGTAAAGAGGGTAAGTAGCTGGCCTGATTGAGTACTGTATCGACAACTATTCGAATAGACATCGAGGTAGGTAAATGTAACACTTGACATTCCTATATTTCACTAGGTACACATACTTGAAATTAACACTGCCGGGGGCCTATATTCGTCACTCGGATTAGCTTGGTTTTGTTATCAGTGTTTCCTATAGTCAATCAGAGATAAACTGACACATAAAATTTATTCTTTGGTATTGACCATATTTTAGGCGTTTTTGAGATAAATCTATGCTGTGACCACTAGATCTAGACGGTCTATGAAGTGTAACTAAATTGATAAATTCATGAAAATTATCATAACATATACTTATATGTTACGCATATACATATAGTAGAGTCGAATTAAAAATAATATTTTCTAAAGACAATTAGACAATATTTTTTTCTATAAAGCTATGATTTTAGACTACATTAAACGAATGTGGGTCGGAATTTGACCGAGTCACAAGTCCGATTTAACAAGTAGTAATTACCGACCTTGGAGTCGTGAGATAATATCTTGAGCAGGTCGTAATGCGTACACACTAACACAGAAAACTTCTGGTCTTATCTGGTCCATAAAATATTACACTATTATTAAGTCAGTTTTTATATCTTTTTAAATTATGATAATATAATTGAAAGTATTTATGGAAGGTCTTATGCTAATTGTTTTGTTTTTAACTTGATTTATTAAAAATATATAATAGACTCGATAATATAATTCGCGTATTTTGTTATAAGGAAAGTAAACACTGAAACTACTACTATATCGATTTGACAAATTCTTTCACTGTTTGAAATATACATTATTCCAGAGAGTGTTTTTTGTTAATGAGAAAATGTAACATTTCAACAAGCTGACAGGCTACAAATTTTGAACTGTTTTTAAATATAAATATTGCATTATTATCAAATATATATGTACATTTAAACTGAAATTTATAACAAACCCCGGTTTCGTACAATTTTTTATATATATAAATTTTCCTCTTGAATCACTCTATCTATTGCTAAAAACTGCATTAAAAACTGTTGCGCTGATTAAAAGATCTAAGCGAACAAAAAGCGGAAGCGATTTTATTTTATACTATGTAATGATAATAAAAATGTAGACAGGATGTCTGTGTGATCACGCCCTTAGTTTGCAATCGTGCCAGAGGGCTTTGTTCTCCAACAAGATTGGCATAGATTTTAGTTCATTCATGTCATTACTCGATCGATTGTTGAATTGTTTGCGCTTTGTAAGCTTGATGTTGTAACCATAAATGTAAAAGCTTTGTTTAAAAGCTACTGTCTAAAGCTAAACATAACGTTTATTATTAATTAAAATTAAAAGTTTGATTAAAACAGTTTTTCTGTATACGTTAAAAGTTAAGTTAATTGTAAAAGAACAATTATATAATTGTCTTCTATATTCTATAGATGTCCAAATATTATATATAGAATTATTATGTCTATTAGAGGTATCTCCATATTTTTTGTGCTTTTTTTGTAATTTTCTAGACCGATAATTGTTGTTATTCCAACATCGATAAGTGATACTTTTCATCATAATTGAGTCGCGAATATTTAAGTTAATTAATTTTATATGGCCGAAATAATGTGATTATTCTTATAACAATAAATGAATTGACTAAAAATATTACAGCTTAAGGGTATTAAGCAATACGTAACTAATCAGGGATATTACACCCATTTAATTTTTGTTAAGTTAAAATTAAATATACTTACTTTATAAGAATTTTATTTCTTACTGGATTGCTATTGATTGCTTGAATACAATGACACCCTAGTACGACATTGTGATACCATAAACGATAGTACTACAATTTCAAATGAGGCTTGACGAAACATAGAATATGTAATACAAAAGCGAGTCAAAATGTTAACAATTTGAGATTTGTAACCATGCTAACAAGCATGAGGTGGACAAAACACTTTCGCTATTCATGAAATTATCGTTTCTGTACAAAAAATAATCGCTTTATTATTTTAATTCGTGTTCTTGTAAAAATCCAGTTATTTAGCGACAAGAAATCTTCATACAACCGTCACGGACAGCACAAAGACATCAGGTCAATTATTTATGTAAATCTTTTGAAATATACCTTACGAGTCTATATGTATATTTATAATACTGAAAGTTGCCTATAGCGTCTGTATTATTCATTTTATTATGACATACCAATTTGAATCAAATAATACCTCCATACTTCATACGAAAAATGAAAATACTGGATGATCAGAGTTCAACAAATTGTTTCAGACTCCGCTTATCTATTGTGACTAATATACTTGTATATGCATAACACTTTTTTATCTATTGTTCAATATCCACATAAATATTTTTCCCAGGCTCAATACATAAATAGTGAACATATTACAAAAAGTTTAATTAAAATTATTTTCATATTTCAATTATTCGTTCGCCTAGCTCTGAATGCATTTATGTAACACAAACTAGTTCAAAATTCTAGTCTAATATAAAATAACACTATACAATTCAATGCCGTGAACATAATTCGTCACGGCACGACTAAGTGACATCCGTCTCGATAGCTTGTCATCAAGTAATGAACTTGATCATGATAACTGACTATATTCAATAGCGATCTGATCTTATCGATGTCCGATATGGATTCTGGTGAGGCAAGTACCAAATCTTTGATCAGTATCAAATAATGTCACATTGGAGTGCGCAATAGGATAATCCAATACATTTTTAAGGATAAGGCAATACAAATATATACAAATGTTTATTTGTTAATTTATTTAGTCGACATGAAATAGAAAGAGGCGTCCAGGTTTTTATAAATTTACCACAAATTGTAATAGAATAGCTAATACTCCAATAACTGAGTATCTAGAGCGATTTGAAGTGAATTTATTCATGTACTAGAACACATAAACACACTTGTGTGGTCGTACATAGATTCAAATCCAAACTATATTTATTGCCTGATGATGCCTCGTTTAGAGACGAAACACGTATCGTAATATATCCATCCATTACCGTAATAGATCCATTAACGGTCGGAATTTGATCACTAAAGAGGAAGGTAACGTTTCCAGTAGCAATGGTCAAGATTTCGCACTGAATATGTGTGCCCTCACACATGCAAATGGTAGCGGAATTGAACAAAATAATA